GCTAGATCAGATTCAAGATCAGCTGCTTGTTCTAAGCAATCAAAAATTGATGGCTTTCTGTTAAGACTGAAGTATATATTAGTGTTATCAGCAAATAGAACCACTTGTAAGAACCATTAGTAAGGTAATTTATATAGATAAGAACAACACATCAACTGGAAATAAAGAAGTTGGCCTTCAAGGATAATTTTAATACTATGGTTTAAAAGGAATGAATCAAAAATTTTAAAAACTTTCTGACAATGGCGGTTTTAGGCAGAGCCAACCTAGGCTTTGTCTAGGGCTTTGTTCTTTCAGGGGCCTCGCAGGCTGATATGAGCAAAAAAATTATAGAACATTATAATCATACAAATTCTGTTTTATTGATAAGGACTTAGGATAAGATTGAAAAGATTTGCAGTAGCTTCAGGAATGGCAGACACTTTTCTTTAATAGAAAATTTTGATAGGAAGAAAAAATAAATTTTAATAAAAGTTTTTAATAAAAATAAATAACTTCATTTCAAATTTTGCAATACACTACTGCAAATTCTCGCATTTACCTGTTTCCGTAGCAAGTGCAGAAAGATCATTGTCCAAGTTGAAGTTCATAAAAACTTATTTAGAGAGTAAGCTAATGAGACATAAGTACTTACACATTCTTTAAAAACCCATGGATGCACACTATCAACACCTGGAGCTTTATATTATAAATACGATATTCAACACTTGATGCTGTCATAACCTTGACACCAACATTTAAAAGGTTGAAAGAAAGTTATAACAATAATTAAGAAAGAAAAAAAATGCTGTCTCCTTAACTATTGTTGAGGTGAATATATAAAACATAATAAGAAAAAGTTGAAAGCAGAAATGTCTAACTAGAATCTAAATACAATTGAATGATATTACATTTGTTTAGTTCTTTAAAAATTTTGATTGAAAAGAAATATTAAAATATAAAATATAAATAAACATTTAAAGATAAATATATTCATATAAAACCTGCTTTTTTTAATGTATTAAATATACAAATATACAAAATATACACAGACAAATGTTTAAAAATATGCAAAAATATATATTTGTTCACTTATATTTATTTTTTTGTGACATTTATAAGATAGAATCTATAACAAGATTTGAAATTTTTAAATAAAAATCATACTATTTTCTTCTGCTTTATGTTCATTTACAAAATCTTCAGTTGATTTAGGGACAAAAATGTCTGCAAGAGAAAAAAATTGAATTTAAATTATTGTAAAAATAAAAAACTTTAAAATTTATGAAAATAACAAATTTTAACACTAATAATAAATTAAAAAAAAACAATAATATAACACTGTCACTAGTCAGTAACATCATCAGTGGTATTGTTTGCTTAATACTTGTTTTTATATGGTAAAGACACATTAGAAAACCACATTTTCTAATGTGCCATATATGTTTTCTAATCTGCTTCACTATTTAACATACTTTGTACATAAGTTTGGTTTTTTAACACATTTAATTGCTTTATTTAAAAGACATATATTTCTCTACATAATTACTAAAAATATATTGTGAAATTAAATCATAAAAGAAATGATATTTTTAAAACTCCGCTATCCGCGACAATTCTAAAATAATGCTATGTTAAATCAAGATCATGGTGTAAATGAGTTTAAAAGCAGTTACTTATTTTAAATGTTTCCAATAGCTTTGCTTACTTTGCATAACTTGTAATTGTATAGCAAGTATGTCAAGTAAACCAGTTTAAATTTTAATTCTTACTTGGCAAATTATTTGCCAAATAATTATTATTTGGTTTACAACAAATAAACGTTTAACTTTAATCTACATTAAATAACTAGTGTATTAATGTACATAGTGTAATCTAATGTACATTAAAACTAAAATAATTGTTATTATAAAACTTATCTAACATATTAAACAAACTTATCTAAAATATTAATATATAACTTATATATTAATATTTTATGCTTTTTTTTTTATTGATATTAATAAGCTTTATTTTTTATATTGATATTAATATGCTTATATTATAAGCAGTATATCAGATAAGATTAAATAACTAAGATGAGATAAGATAATAAAATTAGATAAATAATGTACAAAAGATAACTAGTATGATCTTTTTTTTTTTATAATAGCCTTAGATTACATAAAAATGCTTGAAGTTAATTGTATTGTAAATGTTCATTAAGTATTAAAAAACGTTTTTTATGATAAATGTTCTATTCAATTTTAGTTCTGTTAAGTTGTTTTTGTCTTTTTGTTGTTGTTTTTTCTTTAGAATTATTAGAATATGTAAATAATGTAATTTAAATATTGTTTATAAATTCTTTTATATTTACTTTATTATTTTATTTAAATTACTACATTATAAGCTGACAGGTTTGACTGGCAATATAAATAATGTTGTTCATCGTATATATTGTTTATAACATTGTCAGTTTTTATATGCATTTAATATTTTTTTAAATAGTTCAAAAGCTTTCAAAATAAAATGGTGAATTGAGTTTAAATTAACCAGAAAAGATATAAACGTAATCTTTGGGATTCAACTTGTAAGGATGTTCCAAGAACCACTTAGTTGGAGAAGGAAAACTGTGGTAATGTTTTAAAAGTATCAGAAAGGGAAGTTAATTAATGAACAAGATTTTACTTCATAGTTAAATATAAGCATATAAAAGCAATGTTTATAAATAATACACTATTATTTATTATAATACAAGTATTTTTATTTGTTTATATTTAACTAATATAAAGTGCTCATCTTTAGTTAAAATAAATTAATTTATGCACACACTTTGATATTTATTATGCTTTTACATTACTATACTTTATAAATTACATATTTATTATATTTGTTATTTTTTAAATAGTAAAGTAAAAGTATAACAAATTTTTGAATTTAATGGTGTGTGTATAAGTTCTTTTATTTTAACTTTATCCTTTTATTTAAATTACTGCATTATAAGCAGGTAAGTTTGACTGACAATATAAATAATGTTGTACATCATGCAGACAGCTCAGACAAAGAAGTTTTTACTTAAAATTACAATTTATAAGTTATACTATATTTGTTGCTGCCTTGTTCTATATAAATGTTACTAACATGCAGGTAAATTTTAACCTTATCATTTCATTTAAATTACTACATTATTAGCAGGCAGGTTTGAATTGCAATAAATAAATTTTTAATTTATTTATTTAGTCGTTCATTAACAAGTTCGGTGCTTTATAATATATTTAAAGATGGTAAGGACGTGAAGAAAACAGGTTTTTAAATGATGTTGTACATCATGCAGATAGCTCAGAAGAAGAAATAAGTTTTTTTTTTAATTACAAAAATAAATATATAATGTAATCTTTGTTGCTGCCTTGTTCTATATAAATGTTTCTAACATGCAGGTAACATTTATATATGTATTAGTTTGAATAAATCATTTTAATTAAGTTACATTATAGGCAGGAATGTTTGACTGGAAATATAAACGATGTTGCACATAATGCAGATAGCTCAGGCAAAAAAGAGGTAATAATCTAATAATTGTTATTCATAAATAATGATATATTCATTGCTACTTTTTTCTATATAAATGTTACCTAACATTTGGCAACATTCATAATTATGTATAATGCCTAATTATAAAGTAAGTTATAATAGATAATAATTATAAGTAAAATGAATCAGTAAATAAAGCAAACTAGTTAGAATGTATATAATAGTTGTATGATGTATTGTTTCGATTGGTGAAATGGAGAATGAGACTAACTACGGTGAAAAAAATAATGAATATCAAAATGTGAATAGTACTTTGTTTGACATCTAACTGTTTCTACAGTGCAGTCGCACTTATAAATGGGCTTGATGTTTTTTTGGATTGAATATGTTGTATTGATGGTTCTTTTTAACTTGTTAAAACTTTAAGTTATTATCAAATTTATATATACTATTTTTATCAAGTAGTTAATATAAAATAATAAACGATAAACAGTCAAGTAAATAGTTTTATTTTCTGTAAAAATTGTTTTCTTGATATATTTCAATTGTTTATCACTATGTATATCACTTATAGTATTATATTGCTTGTAATTTTTTGTTTTATTTATTTTCAGTATGTTATACATATGCATGCATTAGATATTGTGGGAAAGTCAAGTTTTGATGTTTTAGGTGCATTGTAGCTATTATTTTTCAAAGATTTGTAGGATTTAACAAAATTTAAATTTTATTTTGTTTATTGATTTTATTCGGAGAAAGAAATCCCATAGATTAAGAGAACTCAATAATATTAGTGTGATAAAATTTGCTTTTATGATTTAATATGACAATTCAAATAACATTAGTTCAAAAAAACCTGAAAACAAGTCATGCTTTTTTACCATGAAAAATCCATGAGTTTTCCTTGAAAACACTTTTCCATGAAAAACTCATGGATTTTTCATGGGAAACTCACGGGTTTCTCATGAAAACTCATTGGTTTTCCATGGGAAACTCATGGATTTCCCATGGGAAACTCATAGATTTCCCATGGAAAACTCATGGGTTTTCATTGAAAACTCATGGGTTTCCCATAGGAAACTCATGGATTTCCCATGGAAAACTCATGGGTTTCCCATGAAAACGTGTTCCAAATAACCATGGTTTTTTCATGGTTTTTTTTATGGATTTTTTTATGGAAATTTTCCGTAAGGGTATATATATATATATATATATATATATATATATATATATATATATATATATATATATATATATATATATATATATATATATATATATATATATATATATATATATATATATATATATATATATATATATATAATAAATATAAGCTTATTAAGTTTATTGCTATCAAAATTGTAATAAGATTTAGAAAAAATTAAATGAAAAGAGTCTTAAATAAAGACTATTGACCAATAACTATTATCAATAAGTTTAAAAATTTTTATTTCTCAATAAGTACCATATACTATGGTTCATGGTGCTCTATCTCAAAAAACCATGGAAAATAAAAAAATTGAACCATTTAGGAAAAAGCTTGTCGCAAAATTTTAAAAAGCATTCTATCCATACAATGTTGTTTATGTTGATGAAATTGTCATTAAATTTAAGAATCAATAATTCAATAAACAAAATATAACTTCAGAAAATCAAGCAAATACCATATTAAAACATTTAGTCTCTATGACTGTGTTGCTAGTTGCAACTTAACCCTTAAATACAGTGGGGGGGGGGGGGCACATTGGCATATTATTAGTTACAGTTTTATTATTTTACTAAAACTGCAATTAAATTATCATTCAAATGAATTGGTTTATTTCTACCCGAACATAACTTAACATTAGTTTATTACAGTTTTTTGTAACATTTGTAATTGTTGCATCAAATTTTAGTATTGTTAAGTTAGTATATGCAAAACCGTTAAAAAAAATTAAAAAACATTTTTTTTAAATAACTTTCATTAACAATATTTGTGACTCAAAAATAGGGTTTTTTGGTTCTGGATACCCGGACTTTTTTTTTTTTTTTTGTTATTCACCTCCTCAAGGCCGAGAAGGCCACTACAGTACTTGGAAAGTCCGCATGTAAATACCGGGATTCGATACCTGGTTTAAGACTCGGCAAGTCTTATGATTTGACTGTTCGGCCTTGTTTCGTACACAGTGGCGCGTCGTCGCACTGTATCTCTTTCTTTTCTAGAAAACCTTACAGTTTATGTATGTATCCATGTATGTCCGAATACACACTTACTTCATAACTTAAATTTTTTTCTAATCAAATGTTTTTATATTAAAAGTTGTTTTAAAAGCATTCGCTGATATAAAGGATTTTGATTAAAAAGATTTAAGTTAATAAATTAATAAAAAAAATGGTAAATGCAATAAGTGTTCAGTGATAATATCAAACAAAGATGAAAATACTTAATCAATGGTTAAGCATTTAAAAGTTAAATTTCTCTACCAACACAAGAAGAAATAGGGGAAAATTCCACCACCAAACGATTTCAAACTATTGACACCTTCGTTTCCATTGCAAGAAAGCCTTTAAAAGAAATTGTCGCTAAAATGGCTGCTCTTGATAGTATATCAGTTAGGGGGATGACAAAGTCTAGCTTTATTCGTGAAAGTTTAGTAAAATCAAGTTATATTTTTCCTAAAGCCGAAAGAGATGTTATGAATTTAATTCAGAAATTTTATGAAAAAAAGAAGTTGGAAATATTAGAATCGTTACAAGAAAAAGTTAAAGAAGCCAGTAGGTGGACAAAACTAAAAAAACTCATGTCTGAAAACTGAAATTCTTTTTAAAAAGTTTTTACTTAGATACATTTAGGACCTCAAAAATAATTACAATAAATTAAAAAAATATATATTCTCAACAAAAACTCATTTCAAGTAAAATTTTTGCAAAAAAAAATGGCGATAAAGTGAGAAATGTAGCTTTTAAAAAAGCAAAAGTGAGTAATAAATTTTTGGTATATTGGTTAACTATTTTTATTAACATATCAAATAATTGTTAATATATAAAATTTATAAAAAAAAAAAAAAAGTTAAAAAAAAATTTTAAACCAGTTTTAGATATATTTTTTGGTAAAAACTTGACTTTTTTTAAATTTTTTTTTGAAAAGACAACAAGGAAAAATTTGTGCTCTATTTTGTTTTTATCTCTTATACATACTTTGAAAGCTATATGTATATGTTTTTATAAAACTATTAATTTAGCTCTAGTATCTGTTACTTTTTTTGATACTTATAATACTTTTTAATACTAATACTTTATAAAATCAAAGATGTTTCAAGTTTCTTTTGTCCCAAAATAACAAGTATATATATATATATATATATATATATATATATATATATATATATATATATATATATATATATATATATATATATAAATATATATATATATATAAATATATATATATATATACTATATATATATATATATATATATATATATATATATATATATATATATATATATATATATATATATATATATATATATATATATGTATATATATATATATATATTTATACATATATATATATATATATATATATATATATATATATATATATATATTATATATATATATATATATTTATATATATATATATATATATATACATATATATATATATATATATATATATATATATATATATATATATATATATATATATATATATATATATATATATATATATATGTATATATATATATATATATATAAATGTTTTTATATATATATATATATATATATGTTAAAAAATTTTGCTTTATATATATATATATAAATATATATATATATATATGTATATATATATATATATAAAGCAAAATAATCAGTTTTTGTTTCGTTGTTGTAGGTGGGGGCTTTTTTTAGGATAGACCAAATTAATTCTGTTGTTTCTTTCAGTCTTTCTCTAGTTTCCCATATATGTTTTGAGAGAGTGGTTGCATTTGAAAGTTTCTTATTTGAAAATGATTGCTTGTGGTTTGCATACCTCTTTTTCCACACTCCTTCTGATAAACCAATGTATGCTTTGCTGGGAGTGTTTGGGGAAGATGTTATACATTTGTAAATGATGTTTGTCGCTCTACAATTTTTATTCAGCAGGCAAATTTCTTTTTGCTTGCAATTGCAAGGGAGATTTTCAATTACATAAACTATTCAATCGAAACACGACAAAAATTAGCTACAGCTGCTCAAACAACATTTCAAAAATTATAAAAAGCCACAACAAAAAAATAAATTTAATTAACACCAATGAAAATCTCCCTTGCAATTGCAAGCAAAAAGAAATTTGCCCGCTGAATAAAAATTGTAGAGCGACAAACATCATTTACAAATGTATAATATCTTCCCCCAAACACTCCCAGCAAAGCATACATTGGTTTATCAGAAGGAGTGTGGAAAAAGAGGTATGCAAACCACAAGCAATCATTTTCAAATAAGAAACTTTCAAATGCAACCACTCTCTCAAAACATATATGGGAAACTAGAGAAAAACTGAAAGAAACACCAGAATTAATTTGGTCTATCCTAAAAAAAGCCACCACCTACATCAATGAAACAAAATCTGATTATTTTGCTTTATAAAAATGCTGAAGAGCTACTCAATAAAAAAACATAGTTAATCTCCAAGTGTCATCACAAAAATAAATTTCTATTGAGCAACCACAAACCTGAAGATTAGATACACGCAGTCGTAACAATAAAAAAAAAAAAAAAGTTTTTTCCGTATAGGTTTTTTCTGTATAGTTTCAATTGTATATAATTTTTTAAACGAACAAACTATATTTGTATTTCACCTGATGATTGCAACAGCATGAAACTTAAAATTGTGAAAATCACGTAGTTTTATTTTCTATATATATTTTATTTTCTATATATATATATATTATAGCTCTGAGCACTTTCTTGATAGTTTATGCACAAAATAGCATCACTACATATATATATATATATATATATATATACATATTAATGCAACTTTTTAATGTTTATATTATTTTAGTCTAATAATATTATTATTAGTAATATGTCAGCCATCACAAGATATCAAATTCATCAATTCATAAGACAGCATGGTTTATCTATGTCTGATGAAAAAGACAAACTTTATGTTTACAATTTTATTCGTGAATACTGTTCTGAATTTGATGCTCAGTTTGTAACCTTTTTGTCCAAGTATCGTAAACGTTGGTCTTTAAGTAAAAGAATTGATGAAAACTTTATGAAACATAATTCAGTATGGCTTCAAAAAGACTTTTTTAAGTCATTTAAAAATCAGGATAATAAAACTGAATCTATAGTTAGTGGTCAACCTGCAAAATTATTTGATGATTCATCAAATAAGAAAAAGAGTCGTAAAGTAGCAGCTATGGACTTATAAACTTGTTCATCAAATGAACTGCTGTATGCTAGTAATTGTAATCTAAAGATAGCAGAAGAATGGATGCAAAAGTAGTTCAAGGTTTATCTATTAAGCAACCTTCTGATACAGAACATACTCAAAACACTCTAAATGAAGCTCTAGCCCTCTATTAGATAATGATATGAGCAAATCTGATTACCAACGCTTGAGAAATAATGCTTTGAGCAAAGGTTGTAATCTCTATCCTGCTTACAATGATGTTCGTGCTGCTAAAGAACAGTGTGTTCCTGAAAAAACATTATGGACTGTAAATGATTTTTTGGCAGAAATATACTTTCAAGCATTAGTCGATCATACAGCAATACGCCTAATACAGTTGCAGAAACAAGTTATTGATTCAATGAATGATCTTAAAAAGTTGAATTTATATTCTAAAGTTGGGTTTGATGGATCAAGTAGCCAAAGGATTTATAATCAAGTAACAGTTGAGAAAGAAAACTGAGATCTTTTAGAAGAAGCTAGTTTGTTTATTTCTTGTTTTGTTCCACTTCAGTTGTTTGAATTCATTAATGATAAAAAAAGTAATAGTTTTGTCTAATCCACATCCATCTTCAACTTTATATTGCAGACCAATAAGATTTTTATTTAAAAAAGAAACTATTAAAGTTTTGAAACAAGAGAATCAGTTTATTAACAATTCAATTGCAAATTTGTCTTTAATATTTTGTGAAAACTTAACAATACTTCATAAAATTGAAATAACGATGGTGGATGGCAAAGTTGCTACAGCATTATCTAGAGCAACTACATCTTCTCAGTGTTGTTCTGTTTGTGAATGCAGTCCAAAAAAAAATGAATGATCTTAATGCAGCTAAAAACATGCCACTGACAGAGAAAGGTCTCTGCTTCGGTCTTTCAACTCTCCATGCTTGGATTAAAAGCATGGAATGTCTTCTTAAAATTAGTTATAAATGAGCGACTAATGTGTTCTTCTGACTCTTTGATAAGTAGTTTGAGAAAACCCCATCATCTTAAGAAAAACGCTCTTCCAAATGGAGTTTTTGATCTTCTTAAAGAGGTTCTAATTTTTGACTAAGTGTCAATTACATAGTTTTGATTTTCGTTGGTATTTAAGATGGTGTTTACTTTATAAGTATTTAATATTTAGATAATAAAATAATGAATATAAAAATTTTTGTTTTATTATATATTCGTTATAAAATTTTTTGTAGCTCTAATTGTATAAAAACTTGCTTATTTTTATATGGTTGCTAAGGGTATCTAAACTACACAGTTAAAATTTAATTAACTGTTCCTGTAAACCTTTATAGTTAAGAGTGTTTTAAAAGTTTTTATTTCATTTTTTTAAAAAAATTTGAATAAAGAAAAATTTTCAAAAAAAATTACCAACTGGTTTCTAAGAGCCCATAAAAGCATAGCAACACCAAAAATTGATATTTTTTTGTTTGTGTTATTCAAATACATAAAATAGCAATGTAGCATTAATATCAGTTTAGTTTATAACTTTGATATTTTAAGAAAGTCTTTTTATTTAGGTAACTATGAAAAATGACTATTGGTATGAAATTAGGTATCCATGGCAACCAAATAAACAATCTAATGGTGCCATTAGATTTTTTATATGAAATACACTCAAGCTGCTAATTATGGGAAAAACCTGATAAATATTTCAAAAGTTATTAATTTTGTCCAGCTAATAATGATTTTGGACCACTGTGCAGTGCTGCAAAATTAGATGAAATTAAACTTTTAAAACAAGAAATACATGTTGCAAAATTATATTAGAGATAGTAAAAAAATATATATATTAGCAGACAACAAATTTCTAAACAATGTAACTTTTTACAAACTCACCATGACCGTTAATGTTTCCAAACTTTCTATTTCTTCGTTCTGCTCTAGCCACATGTTCAGACTGTACTGATAAGATTCCCAAAAGCAGAGCATATACAACTAAAATAAACACAAAAATAATTTTTTTAAATACCTTTAACTTAATGTTGGAATATATTAAAGGTATGACTTTTGTTAAAAAAAAATTGCTTACATTTTTAAATAAAATATTGCTTGATGGTAAACTTAATCTGTAAATAATTACAAAAAATTAATCAGAAAAAATTTGAATAGCTTATATTGTAATACTGGAAAGAAATGCTGTAGGAAGATTTAAATTAAAACCTTTTTTTTGTTTTTTGCAACTATTAATTTATTTTCTGCACACTCCATCTGTTTTTGCATCACACTTATTTATTTTACACTTAATTATTTTTATTTTATTTGCTTATTTGCTCTAGAGGAGCATGCAGATCTAAATAGTTAATAACCTCAATGAATTATTTAGAATTGCATACAAATGCATACATGCCATATAATTCCTACATTCAAAATGGTTTTTTTATCAACTCTTATTTCAAATCTCTTATTTCTATTTGGTTGTAAATATGTCATTATAATTGCAAATATGTCATTATAAACCTATTTACAATTATTTCCTATAAAAACCTTCTTGTTGACTTTTATACCAATCAACATCTACTTTAGCAGATAATTGCCTTTCAGGTGATTTATTAACGTTTAGTGATATTGGTGGATGATGAATAATCAAAGAAATTAATGATCAATTAATGATTAATGATGCCTTCTGTTATTTTTCTACTAATTAAAGATAATAATAGAAACATCTCTAATTCTGCTGATTACTGCCTAATTTCTCTATTTGCAATTTTCTTGTAGACTTTGGAATACATTCTTTACAAAGATATTTTGGGACACCTAACCAATTTGGTTTTAGAAGAATATAACATCACTATTATAATTTTTCTAATCTTGAAAGTCTCATAGGTTTTTAATTGGACTATGAATTTACTTACCTTTATTAATATTAGCAAGGCTTTTGATGGAATTCGGTGTGACACCTTATTTATTACCTTTCTAAAAAAAGGCTGTCAGACCATAGTCTAGTGTTAATTTATGATTACTTATTATGCCGTATGCTGGTCAAACAAACTGTATGTCATGGTTGCAATAACGACACAATTGTTTCCAGCTAGCAATGAAGTATTTCAAGGAGGTACTCAATTTCCTCTTTTATTTATATTAACAACCTTAAAGTTCTACTTAATAAAGATCTAAAGAGTTGTTGTTTGGGTCCTTCAATTGTTGAACTTTTTTTATATGCAAACAAAATAGTTCTAAAAATAAACGATTATTTGGTTCAAATTCATGTTTCATGTTGTCTGACATGTCTCTTTTATATACATCACAGTAATAAATATTTAAGACATTTATTTTCTAAATGTAAATGACTTATATAAAAATAAAGATATCTTTAAAACAAGTGTTTACCTTTGTTTAAATTTTCACCCTTCAAAGAAAGTTTTGCTTATCTTAAATGCAATATAAGATAATATTGAATGCTTTTTGCAGTGGATAGTACCAATTGTACTTTTCTTTAACTATCTTTTCTCTATAGATTAATATAATTGTTTTTTTGTTACATACAACAAGCTTTTTCTTCTCTTGAATAAGCCACTCTTTTGTGGTTTAAGTAAATTACTATATCCTTCATTGTTTTTTGTTACTGAACAGTAAAAACCTATTACCTAAACACTTTGTTTAATCTGGCAGATTTTTACAATCCGATTTAATGTCAATAAGGAACTTATTTTTATAACATCAAAAATAGATGAAATTAATAACAATATCGAAGGTAAAAATAATAATAATAATAATAATAATAATAACAATAATAATAATAATAATAGTAATAATAATAATAATAATAATAATAATTATTATAAAGCAATAATAATGAATAATAATAAAAATGATAATGTTAAAATTATTAGCAAAAAAATCATATTAGATTTTAGAAGTATTGAGATCTAAAAATTTTTTTTACTTTTATATGTATTATTATTTTTGATATTATTATTAGTACGAACATTTTTACTTTCATATCATATTATACATATTGTTTTTACTTGTCTGTGTTCGAAATTAAAAAAAAAAAACTTATTGGATACAGTTTTATATTGCTCTGGGGTATTATTTATTACTAAATTTCCTAGATTATTGAATGCTGTTTTTATAGATGTTGCTAAGCACAACAATGTTCAAGGCTTGTTCGGCTAAATACACAATTATTGACAAGAAATATTTTTAAAAAAGTCGCTATCGGAAAAATAAAAGCTGAAAGCAGATTTAAAAATTAATTACTGGTTAATCAGGGCCTAAAACATGGGTTTCAAAGTGGAGAGGCATAATCGTCAATTTCTAAAAAAAAGTCCTCTTTATCTGGAAATTTCTTTAAAAAAAGGTCCTTTCAAAAAATGTAGGAAGGGGTGCAATGTCCCCCACAGTGGTCAACTGAGCTAAGATACGGCGAAAATATTCAATGAATAAAAAGTATCAAAAAACAATTGAGCCTTTTTAATGTTCTTCTTAATCATCGAACTTGAAGTTAAAAAAGTATTAGAAAATATTTTTTGTTTCTTCTGTCTCCAAAAATATTTTTTTTGACACCAGATGGCGTTGTAAACAAATTTTTTTTCTTGCATGAAAAATCATAAATTTTATTGAAAATTAGAAAAGAGTTAAGGGTCACATATATTCATGATTACATGTAATCCCTTAACTTTAAACTATTTCAATTATAATATATATTTTTGGTTTTGAACAAGCGTAAACTGGAGTTTTGAAGAGTACAATATTTTTATCATAGTTTCAGTAATTATTGCATTTTTAAAAAGTTGTTGAAAAGTGTTGAAAATAATAAAATATTCTTTAAAAAGTTTAATCTTTTCTCTTTCAGACAATGAAAAAATTGTCTGCATATTTCCGCAAAATAGATATTTTTAAATTTGAAACCTGACACTTTAGTATGCGTACGTAAAAAAAACTGGTTAAAATTTTATCTTCGGCCGTAAATCGAAACAGAACTTGATTTTTATTCCAGTCTTTAAAAGTGCATAACTTTTTTATTTTTCGTTCAATTCTAAAGTATTTGTACTCAAAATTCAGCTCTTTTTATTTACTACATCAAACTGCAATGGTCAGTCATCATTGTTTATAAAATGGTAAGAACTGTTAACATTTTTACAAAAAACTACCATAAAAACTTTTACAAAACAATTTTTTTATTTGAGTTATTTGTTTTTTGCCCTAATATTTTTTGGTTTACCAGGACTTTGTATTACTATTTCAAAAATAAAATAATGTATTTTTTCTGTTTTAGACATACCCCATTCCAAAAATAGATCTTCTGAAAACTATGCAAACTAGACTGAAGTTTATTGATGTTCCTTATCAGCTGAAGTTCTTAGAAATCTACATTCTCTCTCGTCTGTCAGCCATTTTTGAGGAGGTTGGAGACACATTAGGAGAACTCAGGCAAAAAATCAGAAGTTTTTTGGTCAATGTAGAAAAAGTGTACAAGAAAAATTCCTCCCAGACTGACCGGCTCTTTGAGAGTGCAGCAAAAGGAAGCTTTCTCTCCAAGGATTTTACTCTTCGTGAAAAAGTTGAGACTAAAAAGAATTTATAAGTGAAAAAAATTTATTTAATCAAGATTAACTTAATTTATAAGAATTCTGCAATGAATATACTCTTAAATTTCCTTTTTTTCTTTTCTTATAATATGATGTGATTTATAGTGCTATCCGTGAAAGGATTGTTTTGATAACTATTTACATTTTTTAGGGACCCACCTCCACCTAAGAAATCAAAGGTAGGACAACCTTCAAAAGACTTTGAACAGAAACTTCTCCGTGGGAAGCAACTTTCAAGTGCAGAAGTGTCAAATCATGAAAGTGTCAATCATGAAAATAGTGCCATCTTGTTAGCTTCAGCTCAATCTCCAACAAAACTGATATTTATGGCCTGCAAACTATTAAATATCAGCCTGAAGAGGTGGTCAACAAAGCCTTGAAGGCAGCTCTGGAACCTGCAGCCCTTGCCTTCATCCTCAACAAGAATATTTTCAAGAGAACATATTGCAAACTAAATGAGGAATGTGCTGAAAACTTTTCTAAAATCTGGCCAAATTATAATGCTGTAAGTGAAACCTATTAATTGACTAGTTGACTGATTATTTGTAAGTGTTTTGAGACTATTGACTGATTAATTGTAAGTGAAACATATTAATTGACTCTTTAGTTAATAATTATATCAAGAATAGTTAATAATTTTTTGCTGATGTAATTTCAACTGAGGTCTGTAAATTTGATTTCAGGTTCTTGAAACAAAAAAAGACTGCAAACCTGATGGAATCGAAGTAGATGCACTGACAGCAAAAGTTCTATTTCAAAACCTTTTTAACCATACAGTAAAAAGGTAAAAGAAGGAATCTATATTTTCTCTAGCCTACCTTTACCTTTTATATTTTGTAGATCTTTCTATAATTCCTTATTTAATCCAACCAGAGCTGTTTCGAAGAGGTCTTCCATGGGGGAGGGAGGTATGTATTTTTTTTGCCAACTAAGGACACACAAAAAAAAAAGGTCCTCAACATTTGCAATTTGCCAACTATAGATTAAAATTTGCTCAATGTGCCAACTCAAATGCTTATATGACAGCTTGGGGGGGAGGGGGACATCCCCGACTCCCTCTCCTTCGGGACGGCCCTGAATCCAACTAAACTATCAACATTTAAGTTCAACAACATAAATTACACTGGCATACAGGTTTTAAAAACTTAATAAATTTATAGGTCCTAAAAATCAACTTTCCAATTAAACCTTTTGTTCTTTAAAATTAGGATATTCCTGGAAGATGCCCTCTTACTTGAACGGCTGAAGGAAGTGCCTCTGTCAAGCAATCTCTGAATCTTTGCTTTTACTTCAAATGTTGTAAGAGTAGCATTTCAAAACCCAGATTTCTTAAGATCATGAGATTTAGAAAAACGTACTTTAATATTTTAAAAAACTTTTTCCTGCATGCCAATTATTTAAGGCAATTTTTTTCTATTTTATTCCTGTAAAATCATGCAATCAAAAAGAAATTGGTTCACAATTTTAGCCATAATTTTTCAAAACTCATTACTTCTTTTCAGTGGTCAAAGCTCAAATTTGCGATATTCCTGAATCTCTTGTCCGAAACTTGGCTATAATTTGCGGCGCACCGGCGGGTTTATTTAAATTTAGTGTGCGGTTTATAAGTAACAAACTTTCTCTGAACGTGGACAAAACGAAATTTATCTTATTCCATAAAGTTATTAAATCGGAAAGTATACCCTCTAAATGCCAAATCAAATAATTAAAATAACAACATTAAAAGAGGAACAAGCTCTAAGTGATTTTAAGATCTTACAGAAACATTAAAGTTGGAGTGTACATATAAACTGTTTTGAAAAAAATTTACCAAAAGATGTTGTAATAATATATAGAACTAAACCATTTCTAAATAATAATTCTTTGAAATATTCATTTTTATCTTTTATTCATTGTTGTTTGACTAATGTAGTATGGCATGGGTAAGTAAAAATGTTGCAAAATTGTAAACAAAAACACGCGTGCAGAATATTTTTGAAACTGATAAAAGCGCATTTTGCAAGCATCTCCTGCGTGAGCTAAGAACATTAAATGTTTATAAGATCAAGCTACACCAGTTTTTATTGTTTATGAATAAAACAAAGATAGGGTTATCTCCTAAAATACTCAAATCTTTTTTGATAAAAACCTATAAAAGTTTTCAATAACGACTTTTTTGCCTTAAATATTATTATATTTTAATATATTTTTCATTTTATATTTATCAAAAGCTTTTGATACAATTGCTTATAAAATTCTCCTTTAAAAAATTGAATATTAAATGAGTTTTTACTAAATATTGAAAAAGCAAAATGATCATTCTTTCATCCAGCTTCTAAAACCCTATTGTTTCCCTTGCCACCTTTACTTTTTATTGATAATTCAAGTAAAAAGAGTAATATATATAAACATTATGATTATCTATGTTGGTAAAAACCTTAGTTGGAAATACTGTATTAAATTCTTGTATAATAAAGTTGCTAAATGTATAATAATATTGTGTAAAGCTAGAAGTGCTTTAAACAAACGTATAATAACTCTATTAAGCTTATCTTATAACTTTATCTATTTTCATTTAAACTGTTTAAATGTTGCTTGGTGTAATAACAACTAATCTAAACTGAAGCCTCTTTATCGTCATCAGAAGGATGTTTCTCGTCTTATTAATTTTAAAGACATACTCGTGCCAAGTCTCTTTTATTTAAAAAGAAAATTCTTTATAAATATTTCTCAAATTTTTTTAATATACTTTTTTTTTATATACAAGTGTAAAAGTAACTTCTCCCAAGTTTCTTTCCATAATTTATATAGTTTAAAATATTAAAAATAAATACAATTTAAGAAATGATATTTTAATTCAGCAACAATTTTTTAAAAGAACTTTGGAAAATCAAGCATTTCATTTTGTTCTCTTTGGAACAAAGAAGTTTTAACAACATTTTGATTTTTCTGTTGAACAGTCTTACCTCTTTTTTACGAAAAAGCTTAAAAAAATTATTTTATCTCTTGATAATATATTTTTATATTTTTAAACGTTTAATAATTAAGTATAACTATTTTATAAAATTATGTATATTATGTATGTAATTGAATTTTATGAGGTTTGTTATTTGCGAACGGTTCTCGATGACAAGACCAAAACAAGGCAAGATTGTCTTTCGTGAGTATCCATGTTTTCTTTTTCTTTTTAAATAAATGCTTGTACATTTATTTTATCTTTTACTTATTTCTTATTGGGTAAACATTTTTTATTTTAAGAATTTCAAAGTAAGACAATTTACTAAAATGTTTAAAAAAAGAATGAAAATATATAATTTAAATTATTTTTATATTAAATCCGTAATCGTGAACTTTATTTTTGGCAGAAGATTTACAAGTTTGTAGATACACAAAAAACTAATATATAAAACACAAATCGAAACAGGTATTATTACTCATGGTTTTATAACTCCATCTCACTACCCTACTCACTACCCTACTCACTACCCCACTCACTACCCTACTCACAGGTATTATTTTTTTTATTATTGTTTTTTTTAAACATCTTCACTTCCACCAAGGCTGCAAGCAACCACTAATTAGTGTTGGAAGTTACTGGAAGAGAAAAGATGAAGATTGTAAAGCAAGAAAATGATTGACAGACAACTTAAAAGATTGCAAATTATATGAATCAGGAAAGCAAGATAAAGGAAGCGAATTCCAAAGAACTGATGTTCGAGGAAAAAATCTAGACGAATAAGAGTTTTTGGAGCACTTAGGAACAGTAACAGAAAAAGGATGAGACTTAATTGAATGACGAGTAATTCGAGAGTGAATTTTAGAAGATGGCAGTCTTTAGAGCAGTGCCCATTATAGTATTTGTAGAAAAGAGAAAGAAAAACAACATTACGACAATGTGATAATGGTTGAAGGCTGGCTGTAAGAGCAGGTCCAACTATGTTTACAATGGGTTTTTGTACCTTGTCTAAAAGAGAAAGGGCATCATTAGAAGATCTGCCCCAGATATGGCAACAGTATTCCATACAAGGCCGGATTTAAGATTTATAGAGATAGAGGATAGAATCCAGAGTAAGAAAGTGTTGAGCTCGATAATGAAATGTAACTTTAGCAGATGCTAATTTTGCAACGAATTTGATATATGGTTTCTAAGAAAGATCAGAAGTAAGAGTTAATTCTAGAAGATGAAGGGTAGATGACTCATAAGGTACATTACCTTTCATAAATATAGGAAGTTTTATCTGAATTAAAGTTCACCAACCACTATGAGCCCCATGCTGTAGCAGAGGTGAGATCCTTTTCAAGCTCAAATGCCCTCTCCAAGCAATCAAAGAGAGTTGGCTTCTTGTCACGACAAGAATAAATGGTAGTATCATCAGCAATCAATGCTACCTTAAGGATTCAACCTTGAGGAACCCCTGAGCTTACAGAGTAAGAAGAAGAGTGCTGTCCATCAAATAAGTGCTGTTAGCAAATCAGTCGTAGAACGAGAAGATCGAAATCCATATAGATGATCAGAAAGTAAGTTATTAGATTCAAGATGAGAGATTATGTGTTTGTTAACTAAAGATTCAAAAACCTTATTTATGATAGGAAGAAGACCCTTGGGACGGTAGTTAGACGAATCAAATCGCTCTCCAGAATTTTTAAAAATAGGGATAACAGATGCTATTTTCCAGCAGGCTGGAAAACAAGACTCTGATAAGCACACACAGAATAGTTGTTGAAAAGGATAGACGATAGCTCCGGAGAACACTTCTGCAAGACTATAACAGGTATGTTGTCCGGGCCACAAGTTGTAGAAGAGTCTAAGCAAGAAATCACTTTAGATACAGAAGCTAATTACTCAGTGTTATAATCCTAATAATATACCCTATTTTAAAAGCTTTTTTTTATCTAAATAAAAATTGAAAAATATAATTATCTATATAAAAATATTGCAAAAAATCTATCAACACATTTTCATTAACTTGTTTGTTTTTTTATTAACCGAATCTCTCAGTTAAGGTTTTTTGATTTCTAATTTTATTTTTTTTTAATTTTCAAAGAAATGATATTCTTTTAGTATTATATATATATATATATATATATATATATATATATATATATATATATATATATATATATATATATATATATATATATATATATATATATATATATATATATATATATATATATATATATATATATATATATATATATATATATATATATATAAAATGTTGCAAAATTGTAAACAAAAACACGCGTGCAGAATATTTTTGAAGCTGATAAAAGCGCATTTTGCAAGCATCTCCTGCGTGAGCTAAGAACATTAAATGTTTATAAGATCAAGCTACACCAGTTTTTATTGTTTATGAATAAAACAAAGATAGGGTTATCTCCTAAAATACTCAAATCTTTTTTGATAAAACAGTTGATAAAAACCTATAAAAGTTTTCAATAACGACTTTTTTGCCTTAAATATTATTATATTTTAATATATTTTTCATTTTATATTTATCAAAAGCTTTTGATACAATTGCTTATAAAATTCTCCTTTAAAAAATTGAATATTAAATGAGTTTTTACTAAATATTGAAAAAGCAAAATGATCATTCTTTCATCCAGCTTCTAAAACCCTATTGTTTCCCTATATATGTATATGTATATATATATATATATATATATATATATATATATATATATATATATATATATATATATATATATATATATACATATACATATATATATATATATATATATATATATATATATATATATATATATATATATATATATATATATATATATATATATATATATATATATATATATATATATATATATATATATATATATATATATATATATATATATATATATATATATATAGTGGTAATATGCTTTCTTTTTTTCTTGTATTACTCTTTATTTACTCACCTTTACGTTACTCTTATAATTTTTCTTTGACTGACCATGCATTGTATGCACACTTATATTTTTGAAAATATAAAAACTAAGTAAATAAGAACTCATTAATGAATTTTTATTTACTTTTTGTTATATTTTTTTAAATAAAAAGTTTATAAAATATACAAATTTATGGTTTTCTATTTATATAGTAAAAAATATTCTTTGTTGATGATGTAGTTTTAGACTATATCTAATGTTTAAAATTTTGGTTATAAGTTCTTAATTTTAATAATTTATTTGCTGAGGCGAGTTAAGCTTTGCATTATGGGTTGGATTGACATTCCTAACTTATGTAAAATATATAAATTTGTGGAATAAACTTTAAAACTAACCTACAATTTCTACCAAGTAATGCAGCATCTTATTTTGCAAGTACATATCTCTTTTAAATTAAATGAAATTTTTTCAGCATAAATATATTTCAATTAAAATTATGTTAGAAATAAAAATTAACTTTTAAAAAATAATAAATGAAAAACAGAGTAAATTGACCGTAGCCGTATTTATGGCGCAACGTTGCTTTCGAATATTTTCATGCTGCGAGAACTTTTTTTTAACTTCGAAAACTTCGCAGCATTACTTTCTTTTTATACGCACTTAAGTCTACTACAAGAATTGTTGTTTTATCAAGTAAGAAAATCGTTATTTAGATTTTTACGTAAAACGTTAATAAGAAGAAGTAGTACTTGTTCATTTGCCATAAATTTATACATAAAGTGTTTTCAAGTATTTAGACATATTAAGATTTTGTTGTTTATTTAGAATATCATAAAATCGAAACTAAAGAAGATATGAAACTATCTTTTTTTATTTATTTGCTAGAAAACCTTTTTGTTAACAAATCTTGCATATTGGATAAAACATGTAATAGTGCATATAAACGTTATCAAAAATTATTGCAAAAACTATAAATAAATAAACTGCGATATAATAATTATATATATATATATATGTATATATATATATATATATATATATATATATATATATATATATATATATATATATATTATATATATAGTAAATACATAAGTTAGCATTATATATAATATATAGGGGAAAGTCGGATAGCCCCTGACACTTACGGAAAAAATAGATTGTACACATATGAAACAGTGTGTTAAAAGACTTTTTGCAAAGTATAAACATATCTTTTTTTTTTTATATTTTGCCGTTTAAAAATATTACAATAACCAAATATATTTTACAATTTTTACATTAGTAAGGACAGGACTTCTAGAAGATCATGAAACCCTTTACAATAATGGTTAATTTTTAATAAAAATACAATGTCTGTAGTGAAATAATAATAACTTTTATGCAAAAAACATTTAAAAACCAAGATAAAATGTTAAAAAGCCAAGATAAAATCTTAAACCAAATAATATACAAAATAGAACAACAACAAACAAAACAAAACAAAAAAACAATTAAAAATAAATCAAGATAGTTTCAATTAAAAGTATAATTTTTTTTAGTTTTTGTTTGAACGAAGCAAAAGTCAGTAGAGTAGAAAAATCAAAATTTGGTAAGACTATTTTGTTCCAAAAATAAGGACCTCGATAAGAAAGAAAATACTGGTCTTGGCTTTTATGTCAAAAAGGGGCAATAAGATTGTTATTAATTCGAAGATTATATTTGTTTTTAGGCTTCATACAATAAAGATTTTGCAATACATTTGGAAACAAATTTTCTCTACATTTAAACATGAAAGATAAAATATTAAAGACATTTAGTTGATATACATTTAAAATATTCATTTCTTTAAAAAGTTGTTTCGTGTGAAAAAACCGATTTTTAAAATTTGTTGCGCGAGCTGTGTGTTTCTGATGAAGGTAAAGAGATTTTAACTTTGATCTGTGAGTGCTTCCCCATATAACATTTGCGTAGTTTATATGACAATGTATAAATGAATAATATAATTGTGTTAACTGGTGTTTACTTAATATATTTCTTGCTTTATAGAGAATTCCGATGCATTTAGCAATTTTATTGGAGGTATTATCAATATGATTTCCCCAAGATAGATTTTCATCAATTTAGTAACTTAGTAACTTTTTCTCTTCTTATTATTATATTATAAATTAAAAGGTTTGGCATGATGTGGGTCAGTTTCTGGTTTTTTAAAGGTCGATAAAAAAAGTGTCCATCAAGTTTTTTCTATATTTTGGGACAAGTATAGAAAATATTTGTTTAAACCAAAATGAAAACAGAAACTTTTTTAGATTCATATTATTAGTAAAAAGCGAAAGGAGGTGGCAAAATGGGCGTTCTCACGAATCATAAAAATGGATGGCGTATCATCATTATATTTTTTTAATATTATTAATTTTCATTTTTTTGTCTTACAGATGTTCGACTAAAACTTAATAAATTAATATCTTTATGAGACAAAAACAAATTTGTGTCTTATGCAAAACTTATTGTTGTTAAGTTTGATGATTTATGAAGATCATTTATGTATATTAAAAAATTAGAGGACCAAGTATGGATCCTTGTGGAACACCACATGTTATATTTATTAATAGATGAGATATAGAATCTTTATTCTAAACAAACTGTTTACGGTTAGTAAGATAACTTTCAAACCATAATAGGGTTTTTATCTTTAATACCATATTATATTAGTTTTTTTAACAGGATTTGACAGGATAAAAACTTGTTAAATTCAAATGCAAGATCATTTGTGTCATTTGTTAATTTGTTGTCAATTTGAATAAAGTTTGGGAGTAAATTTTTATTTGGTTAAGTTTTCCAGACACCTCCTTCATGATTTGCCAAACGAGTTTTGAGTTGTGCTTATATTTATTAAGCAAGTTTGAGTAATAGTTTTTTTGTTTTTTTTTGCATTTTTGCGAAGCTTTTTAAATAAGTTTTAAGCTTCACAGCGAACGGACGTGTTTTAGCTGCAGTCAAAACGGCAAAAACTTTTATAATTGCTCAATTAAAATAAATTTTAGAACTTCATGATAGTACCATCTTAAAAATTTTTACTAATAAAATTGATAGGTTGGTGAACAAAGTTAATATTTTAAGTAATGAAAATAATATTCTTAAAAATTAATTAAACGATTTTAAAAAATGTATCGGTTTTGTAAGCAATAAATATGACAAAGTTTTAGTTGAGCTTGCCGAAGTAAAGTCTAAAAACAAACGCATGAACCCAAGTATTCTTATAAACAATATAATATGAAACTTTGGAATGATTGCCTTTTCATTAACAAAGATTTTTGCGAACGAACAAGTCGACTTCGTAAAAAATTGTTTGCAGACGCTAAAGACCTAAGACAAAAAGGTAAGTATGCGAAAGTTGTTTATAATAAACTAGTAAGACGGGTTTTTTAAAAAGAATTCTTTTATTTATCAAATAATAACAACAAATAAAATAAAAATGGATTCGAATAACTCAAAAATTTCGGGTTTGAACTCTTTTAATTTTTTTCAAACTGATGGTTTGTTAGACAACTTCAAATCGGACCCGGTCCATAATTATTTTATCGAAGCATGTGCATTAAAAAGCAACTGCTTGTATTATTATATTGAGATTTAAGAATTTCTTATTTCAAATATTTTTAACATTTTGCATGTTAATATAAGAAGCTTAACAAAAAATTTTGAAAACTTTTGTATAAATATAAAAGAATCCCTTAGTAATTTTAGTCTAATTTGCATGTCTGAAACATGGTGTAGCTCGGAAGTCTTAAATTCTAACTCAAATTACTGTTTACCAGGTTTCAAAATAATTCATTTAGAGCGTCATAATAATAAGCGTGGCGGTGGTGTAGTAATTTATATTAAAAAATGTTTGAGCTATATAATTAGGCCTGACATGAGTAACGATAAAGAGGTTTTAACCGTTGAAATTTAAAACAAAAAAAACAACAAAAGTTTAATTATAAGTTGTTGCAATCGCCCTCCTTCTGGCCAAATTAAAAAATTCAGTTTATTTTTAAATAATATTTTAATAATTAGCACTCAAGAAAAGAAATTATACTACCTAATAGGTGACATTAATTTGGATTGTTTTTAATACCAAACCAATTGTGGGATTAAAAATTTTATAATGATTTTTTTGAACATGGAGCGTTTCCGTTAATTAATAAACCAACTAGAATAACTAAGACATCAGTTACCTAAATAGACAATATAATTTCAACTGATGTTTTTAATAAATCTCTTAAAAAAGGTATTATTAAATGTGACATCTCTGATCACTTCCCAATTTTTTTCTCAATTAACATTGCCACAATAGAATGTAAAGTTTACCCCAACAGAATGTAAAGTTTACAAAACGTTTTTTTACTTCAGTGAATTTAAATTCATTTAAAGAACAGTTATCTCTACTCCATTGGAAAAACTTAAATGCTTCTGCAGACGCTAATGTAGCTTATGACGCATTTTTTAAAACTTTTTATGAAATATACGGCGTAAATTTTCCAAAATGTACTGTAATCTCAGAAAATAGAGGTTTAATGTCACCGTGGATCACAAAAGATCTCAGAAAATCTTCTAAAATTAAGCCAAAATTATATATTAAATACTTGAAAACAAAAAAACAAGAAAGTAAGATTCTTAACAAAAATTATGTCAGAAGGTTTGAAACACAAAGAAAGAATTTAAAAAAACTGTACTACTCCAATCTACTTGAAATGAACAAACATAATTCTAAACGCACCTGGGAAATTCTAAGAGAAGTTACTAGCATGCAGAAAACAAAAACATGCACACTGCCTGTAATTTTAAAAACTAATGATGAACTTTTGTCCAATCCAACAATGATATGTGATGAATTAAATAAATTATTTGTGTCAGTTGGCCCAAATCTTGAAAAAAAATTCTTTTTGTGATAAACAAAATAGATAACTTCGATTTTCCGTCAACTTCGTTTCTTACTTCCTTTGAATTATCTTTTGAAGAATTAGAGCAATCTTTTAAAATGCTAAAGTCTAATTAATCTGTCGGTCACGACGGTTCATATAGTAATATCCCGGTAGGAAATGAGCTAGCGACTAGCGAGCGAATAGCTAGCTTTATAGCAATTTTCAAGCGATTTTTTTTTTCTTATTTTATTCTTTACTAATGTCTCTAACATCTTTAAAAATTCGATTTTTAGTGTTGAGTCCAGGGCCGTAGAGAGCCAAGCCAGACCTCGGGGTAAATTTTTTGGCGGGCCCCCTTTATTTTACATTAATATTCATATCCATATTGAAAACATCAAACTTAAAGTGTATGACGTGTCTTTAGTCATTAATTTAAAAGAACTTAAATCAAAATCAATCTTAAAGTCTAGGACTAGATGTGTTTAATTAGTTAGGTTGGTCAACGAATCCTTTCATTTTTTTAACAAGTTGTATTTGTTAGATTTTTTTTTTTTTTTTTTACACTATTCACCTTCCCAATGCCGAGGGGTCACTATAGTCGAGGAGGCTACTCATTTTTTTGTGTTTTTATTTTTTGTTGTTAATTGTGGTACAACCCTCGCTCAACTCTTTAACTCAGAAACACGAACTTTTGCAAGCAAGGCCGCTGCGCGGAGTAACTAAGTTTATTTAGCAAAAAAGTTTGTAATAAAAAGCTTTTTAATTAAGTAGCCTTTTCTTTAATATTTTTACTATAAGTAATTAACTTGATATAATATAAACAGGAAGAGAATGTAAATTAAAATAAAAAGTATTAATAAAGACTCTAATTTCTCTAAGAGAGTTTTACAGACAAACAAGTATATTCTTTGGTTTTCTTTTAAAAAAATGAATATTTTGAATTCTAAGTGTTCAAAATAAATAATTGTATTTATTTGTACTGCAATTAACCAAAATAAGCTTTGCAAGATTTTTTGCTTGCAAAAAGTTCGATAACTGCATCAAAGTCTAGTCTCCTTGCAAGTGGCGCCTCAATCGCTAGTCTTCCCAAATTAGAAAGTCGATCTTGACACATCGTAGAACGTAAAACATTTTTAACTCTTGCAAGCGTGCTGAAAGAGCGTTCTGCTTGTGCAACGGTAACTGGAAGTGTACAAAAAATTCTAAGAACAACTAAAATGTTTGGAAAAAGAGAATCAAGCTTCAACTCATGGAGTTTGTTTAATAATTGAAACGGCGATAATTGTATTATGCCAAGATTTGATGCGTGAATTACCTTTAAATGTTCTAACTCGTCTATTAAATCGAGAGAAACATCAATGCTGTATTTAACGCAAATAGATGAAGCTTTCTCACGCAGCAGATCTTTATCTAATGTCATGTATTTTCATACAACACCAAATGTTTCCTCAAGATCTTTGGCTGCCTCAAAACGCCGATTCATATTACCAATGACACAGTCTAAAAGAACATAAAAAACATCGCGCTTAAAACAAAATTCTGCACTGGTGTTTCCTAATTTATTATTCTGTTCCTCATCTGAAAATCTAGCTTTTCGGCTGCATTTTTTCTTCGGGAATATGTCATTGGAAACCATACCTAGATTTTCGGCAATAAGTTTACATTCATTTAAAATTGAATCCTAGTTGTTTCTCAATAATAAGAGGTCATCAATTAAGCTTTTTAAATTTAAAACCTCCACATCTAAAGTTGCATCTCTGGCTTGCAGAACTGTGTTTCTGTAATTGATGCTTGTTAGAACTTTAAACCAAGTGCTTGCGAGTATAATGCACTCAAATGAACCCAAGTATTTCTCAATACGTTTGATATCCGATCGAGTCTCGGCAGTAAGATTTAGCTGCTTTAAGTCTTGGATAGCACTCTTTAAACCAGGAATATGTTCTGCAAAAGGTTTTACACGTTCAATCCTGGCTGACCAACGTGTATCTGACATGCTATGCAAAGAGGATCAAATGTTTTCTTTTAAAATTTGCCATCTTTGCGGGCTAGAGCTGAACAAGTTATAAGTCTTTTGCACAACACCGAAGAAGTTTATAACCTCAACATTCTGCGGCATGGACACCACACAGATTTAAGCTATGACAAGCACAGGGAGAACAAATTGCCAATTGGTTCTCTTTAATTATCTCTACTTGTGCTCCTTTATATTGACCGCTCATGTTGCTACCGTTGTCATTACCTAGACCACGACAGTCTATCATTGGTATTGTGTTTTTTAATAACACTGCAAATTAATTCAGCAATAGCTTTCCCCGTTTTCTGATTGCAGTCAACAAACTCTAGAAATCGCTCTTGAACTTCATAGAGACTATTTTCTTCATTTAAATAAACATAACGCAATATAAATACAGTTTGTTCCATATGTGCTGAATCAGGGGTTGCATCAACAAGTATTGAGTAATATTTTGCTGCTTCTCGTTCACTTAAAATAACGTCTAATACTTTTTTGGCACAACACTCTATAAACTCATTTTGTATTTCCGGTGAAAGATAATTTGCTTGTTGTCTTCAATTTCTGCGACTTCATCACTTTGTTCAGATGGTCTTTCAAGGCAGAATCATAATGGCTTAAGAGCTCTAAAATGCCCAAAAAATTGTCATTTGCTGCAACCCCAACTAAATCCCTTTTTCCTCTAAATTCCAAATCTCGTTCGGCTAGAAACAATGTGACATAAAATTCGGCGAAGGACCTGTTTCCACTGTGATGTTTGATTCTTAATGGTCTGCAGCAGCATAATATCGACAGTGGAATTAGAGTCAATACTTTTTTCCAATAGCCGCCATTTAATATAACAATATTTATGGTTGCTTCTGTTTTGATGCTCTGGAATTTTGTCATGTAATTTTTTCCATTTTCTTTGAAAACAATACTTAGATATAATTGTTAAACGTGAGCGACTTGCTGTTGGTAGTTTGCTAAAAAGGCGACAAGGAAAACAAAATATCGATTGTTTAACTTTGCTCTAAACAAGCCAATCACGGGGAACATATTCTCCATTTTTCATACTTGTATGTAGTATACAAACAGGAAATGAATCTCCTTTCACATCTATTGGAAATTGAGATGGGATCTTTTCTGAACCCCTACGAACTGCTTCCTCAATTTCAGAAGCATTTGGTCTTTGATTTTTTAGACTAGCAACATCAAAGTCAAGCAGTTTTGTTTTAGTAATTTTATTATTATATTTGATTTATAATTCTCAGAGATATTGTTGATAGGAACTAAAAGATTGCCGATTGACACCAAGTCATCTTTAATTTCTATGTTATCAGGATCTGGAAAGTCGGCAGTCACATTAATTAAATCTGCAGCTTGTTCAACAACGTTGTCGTTATTGTTAAAATTAGCTTCTACATTATGATATTCATTTTCTAAATCTTTTCTCGAAGACACTGAAAATCCATAACTTTGAAGTAAAGTTTGTTTTTCATTTACATTTTTCTTTTGTTTTTTGAGATCCAGATTTGTGATGGTAGTTCATTTTTTATTTGACTACTAAATTAGATTTTATATAAATTGGCATTAATTATCATTCCGGTAAATAAAACATTCTCTATATGATATAATATACCATATTAAAGATATGTCATTGATATATCGATGTATTATAAAGCAATATGTGCAACAAACACTCCTAAACATTACCGTAGTGAGGTGAGACCAAAGTGGAAATAGCCCCTGTCGCGAAGGCTTTAAGAGGCCCAAAAAATTGAAGAGCAAAAAAAAATGCTTGGAAAAAACTTTCATTAAAATTTTGTAAAGAAGAGAACTTCCTTCAGAAAAAGTTAAAAAATCTAAAAGATACGCTAAAAAAATGTTTAGATAAACGTATTCGTATGACCAGATCAGGAGCAGCAGCCTCAAACTTACCAAAATTTAAGTTTTTTGATCAAATGACATTTTTGCATGAAAAAATTGCAAACAAACCAACAGAATTTAATGTTGATATTGTCTCAGATGTTGCTTCACCATCATCGTTTCACTCACAATGTAGTTTTAATCATGTCCAAGTACCAGTAGTTTTAGCAGAGAATTAATTCTAACTGAAAATCGAAAAATATAGTGATTAATACCAGATCACCCATTCAAAAGAAGGCACGAATCAAAAATCAAAATGACGAGTCATTGTCACAATTGTCACAATCATTAGTAGAGTGTGACAAGATATTAAAAAAGTCAATGGAAGATGTTGAGGAAGATGAAACTACCCTATTTTGTAGAAGCCTTATTCCTATTATGAAAGAACTTTCAATAAAAGAAAATAGACGGGCTATGATAAAGATAAAAACACTTCTTTTCAACATGAAATATGGTGAGAATGAAGAGATTTAGAGTAAATTATATATAGTTATAATTATAAAATATATATACATATATATATAATAATAATTTTATGCTACATTTTATTTGTTTTATCGATGTATTTTTATTTTTAAGAACATCTTTTGAAAGCGTGTTGTAGCAATACCAAATGTATTTTCTATTACCCTTCTGGCTCTTGAAAGTCTGTAGTTGAATATTTTTTGATCTAAAAGAATGTTTTGATTAGGGTATGGTTTCATCATGTGCCTTTTTAAACCAAAAGCATCGTCAGCAACTAAAACGTACGGTAATACCTTTTCTGAATTACCAATATATTCGGGATCAGGAATATTCAATTTATTATTTTCGATTGCATAACCAAGACTGCAGTTGTTAAAAACGCTACCATCACTCTGTCTTCCCGAGTCACCAATGTCTACCATAGTAAATTCGTATTTAGCATTACAAACAGCTAGAAGAACTATGCTATGCGTTTTCTTATAGTTAAAATACTCTGATCCGCCATTATGAGGAGCTTGCATAACGATGTGCTTGCCATCTATTGCACCTATAGCATGCGGAAAATTCCACATGTTTTCAAATTCTTTTGCAATTGTTTTCCATTCTTGTTTTTCTGATGGGACGTGTAGAAAATTTCTCTCTTTCAATGATGTCCAGATAGCAGCGCATGTCTCACTAATAATCCTATTGATAGTAGATGCGCTGATTCTGTAACTTGCAGCAATAGTACACTGAGCATCTCCTGTTACAAGAAATCTAAGTGTTACGGCCAGCCTTTCACTCGGACTCATAGGGTCTCTCATGGTAGTTCTTTGTTTTACAATGATAGGCGCTACAAAAGAAAGCAACTCTTCGTAAGTTGTTGGAGACATACGAAAATACTTAAAAAAGTATTCCTGGTCGTGTAAACGTAAATCCTGGACTAATAAATGAAACTCTCCTTTCTGAAGGCGTTCGGTATAAATTTTCCTTACCCAAAATCGTTTTTCCTTCTTTTCTTTTTCTTGTATCATTTGCAACATTTTTAAAATAATTAATTTTCTTCGAACTAACAACAATCTTCTTTTAATCAACAAGTTTTCCAAAAAGCGCGCTAAAGGATACGCTAAAGTTACGTGGAAATTGATAGCTATCAATTTCACCAAAAATGTTTATTTATACGATATAATTTAACTTTAGTAAATAAATAAAAAAAAATTTAAAATAGTTATTATATTATTTTAAAATATTATTTACAAGAATATAATTAGTTAAAATCATAATAAAATGTTTTTTTATTAAAATATAATGAAATAAAATAAATATAGCGGAATTATTATGATAACAAGTTTTGTGTAAACTTCTCATACTTTGATATCAAGTTTTGAGTTCAAAATGATATCAATGAGTGATTTCATTTTGATATCATATTGATATCATAAACGTTTCATATCATGATATCATATATATCATAGTTTGATAATAAAACGATATCAAATTCCTTACTGGGTACTAACTTATTTTTTTTTAATATACTTATTTCGCCTTCTACAATAAATACAATTTTCATATATATACAACAATATATAGAGATATATACATATATTTATATTAAGAAAGTAATATCATTAATAAACTTCGTTATTGTGGATTGTGATAATAACATACTTTTAAAAGAATTTTTTTTTTTTAAGTTATCTTGATTTTTTATTAGAGCTTTACTTTATTTTAGTGAGATCCATAAATAAGAACAACCGTTCTTATTTATGTACGTATAATACATAATACGTATCGCTTTCCTGCAAATCAATTAAAACTTGTTTAGATTAAAAGTCTTTAAAACTTGAGAACATTTCGGAAAATAACAGAATATTTTAGATGACTTTAGAACATTCTAGAACAATTTAAAATATTCTGGAACAATTTAGAACATTCTAGAGCAATTTAAAATATTTTAGAACATTCTATAACAATTTAGAACATTCTGGAATATTCTAGAACATTTTAGACTATATATTGCTGCTCATCTAATATGTTGCTTTAAATAAGGATGTCTGGACCAATAATCTGATAAAATTTGAAGACTCTCATAAAAGAAGAAGAATGGTCTCTTTGGAAGAATATTCACTGGAAGGAAAGTGCAAAATGCCTCTCTAAAAGCAAATTATTGGACGCTACCATTTCCTTGGACCAAAAATCCAGTAATAAGCGATCCATCCCTCTAAAAGACAAAAAATTTCTAATGAGTCATCCAACTCATCATCTTACTATCCTGGTTTTAGTGATTCTGACAGGCTGACTACAGTGAATATGAAAACAACGAAGAAGATGAGACAACTCTTACACCAAGTAAAAAACATCATAAAGACTAAATTGCAGTCAACTTGATGACCTCCACAAGAGTATCAACAGACAAAGCTGCTAACATTTGCAAGCAATTGGCTTGTGAAGGCATTGGCATTTCAACTCCATTTCAATCAGCTATTTAAAAGTCAACAATCAAAGAGGCAATCAAGCTGAAGGAAGAAATGATTGAAAAGTTGCATATGGAAAGTTGATCCTTACACTATGATGGCAAGCACATACACAGAATGGATTATCAAGTAGTTGTTCTTAAAAACGAAAAAAGCGAAATCAAATTGGATGCCCTTAACTTGGTAGATGGCAGGGCTTTAACAATTGCTCAAGGAATTTCTAAAATTCTCGATGAATTTCACCTATGGAATTCAATACAGATGATTGTTGCAGATACCACTAGCGTTAACATAGGAAAAAAGAACTGCGTTGTTGTAATATTGCAACAAATGTTCACAGAGAAACGCATCAACAAATCTCAGTTTATCAGTTGTCAACACCATGTATCAGATAGAATCCCCCGTATGGTGATGGATGAAGAACTTGGAAGTAAAACACAATCGCCAAACATTAAATATCCATTTGTATCTCAACTGTTGAAGGAGTACGAACAACTGAAAACACAGTTTGATAACAGAACAGAAGTAATTCTCGAAACATCAGGCTGGAGAGATGGTATGAAGTTTTTATTTCACTATTATTTTTTTATCTCACTCGAGTGTTCCGATTTTTTGAGGAAAGAGACATTTTCCATGGATCAGGTTTCAGAAAATGTTCAACATCAGTAATGAGAGGAGGAACTCCAGAGTTATACTAACAATCCTGGCCTTCTTTTTAATTCCTTCAACAAGGACAGTTCTGCTGTCGATTTATATCGTATGGCTGGGTAGACCATTGGTTTACAGACCAACTGTACAATGAAAACGACTTTAATAACTGCTGAAATACTGAATCCATACAAAAAGGATTTAAGATCTCTTTAATCTCTAAAAATCACTAGAAGCGAGAGCCATTCATACTACAGATATCTAGAAGTAATCAAAGCGCAGAGGGCGCAATTGAAGTAATGGAAGAAAATTTATTCATCATGCAAAAATAAAGACAAATTACACCTTTGTGTAATTTGTCTTTATTTTGGTAAAATAAAGACAAATTACACCATATGCAAATAATAATTTATTTCGTGCTTTTTCGGTAAACGTTCATCAAACTACAGTACAGGAGCATGGGGTTGATAAAAAGTCATAGCCCTAGTGTTGATCCTGTAGAAAGTAAAGTATGAGGAGAGAGAGTGGTGGGAAAAAAATATACTGCATCTGTAGTTTGTACTTTTGTAGTTAATTAATCTACCAATTGGTAATTGATAACACAGGTCAACCAAAAATTTTTTTTTTCTGTTGCCAAGCAAACAATTAGTTTTTTTATAGCATTTCTCATTTTGACTTCAAATATGCAGTTCATTTTTCATCATCACGTCAAGTTTTAAAGATAATTGGGTTTAAATCTTGTCGAAAAAAAAGTTATCTTAAAATGTTATTTGTTTGTAATAAAATCAAGTCTTTTTTGTATAATTGCTGAGAAACATTTTGTTAAACTCTTTTTAAGAGTCTTTAGCATTTTTTTTACATAATTTTTTTGTTAATAAGTTTTAAAAAAAAATATTTATTGTTTTCTAAAATCTCTATAAAATTACGCTTCTTTTGAGACCCAGGTTGACATACTTTTGAATAACTTTTTTTTGACAATATTAGGGATTTTACTCCAAATACTAAAGATTTGAACCCAAATATCTTTAGAACTTGAGGTGATGGTGAAAAATGAATTGCATATTTGAAATCAAAATGAGAAATGCTATAAAAAAAACTAATTGTTTGCTCGGTAATAGAAAAAAAAATTTTTTTTGTTGACCTGTGTAATGCAAATTTAGTTGAATTTTTTTTGTAAATATATACTTTTCTTTATATATTTTGTTTTGCATATTATGTATAAATAAATTGATTTCCAGGTAACGCGTGTGTACTTTTTTCCTTTTTTAATTCAATTACATTTTTAGATTATTCAGATGACGCGTTAGTTCATTATAGACATGCAATTGAAAACTATTAAAAATTGTTATGCTTTTTTAATTTGTTAATAAATGTGTAAATAAAAATATCTTTAATTTTACAAAGCTATTAGGCATTTTTTTGAAACTACAATCCGTCATGATTCATATTTTATCTGTGTGAACGAAATTCTATGCAAGTATCTAACGTAATCTTCAAATTATGTAAATTATTAAAAATTATATTAAATGTTACAGATTTACTTTTATTTAAAAATTTTATTGCGGCGATATTTGCTTAATTTTAAATTATTAAATTTATTATTATTAAATTTTAATTTGCTTATATAAAAAAAGTCCCTGGATTACAAAGGGATTAAAAAAATTGTCAAAAATTAAACAAAAATTTTATATATATATATACAAATATCTAAAAACAAAAACACCTGTTAGCGAAAAAATATATAAAAATTACTAATATCTATTTGAAAAAATACGTAAAAGCTTAAAAAGAAATTACTACTTAGAACTAATTAATAAATTTAAAAACGACTTGAAACGTACATGGCAATTTATAAAAGAAATTACTGGAAAACAAAAATCATGGTTAGGTTTTCTGCCGCAGATGATACAAGTTGGTAACATTAGTTTATACGATCCAAGAGCCATATCTCATGAATTTAATAAATTTTTTATTGGGATAGGTCCTTCTCTATCAAATAAGATTCCAAATACGACGACTTCTTTTAATGATTTTCTCGTACCTATGGATAATTGCATTTGTTCCGATGAGTTAACCTCAGAACTATCTTTTGAGGAATTTGAAGTTTCTTTAAATTCCTTGAAAAGAACCAAAGCAACAAGAGCAGATGAAATTAATGGAAATGTAATTATAGATTGTTTCGATATATTAAAACATGTTCTTTTTAAAGTTTTTAAAGCTTCTATTAACCAAGGAATATTTCCAGAATAATTAAAAGTTGCTAAAATTACTCCTATTTTTAAGGAGGGTGACAAATCGAATATTAGTAACTATTGTCCCATCTCTGTTCTTTCGGTATTTTCAAAAATTTTAGAAAGGATAATGTCTAATAGAATATACAAACATCTCACTATATAACAAACAATTCGGCTTTAAAAAAGGTAACTCAACGGAGCATGCAATAATCCAGTTTGTGCATGAAATCTCGAAATCTTTTGAAAAATCACAGTACCTGTTAGGTATCTCATTGACCTATCAAAAGCTTTCGACACTGTAGATCACTATATTTTACTGCAAAAACTTAAATATTATGGAATTAAAGGTACTGCTTTAAAATGGTTTAGAAGCTACTTAACAAAAAGAAAACAATTTATTATTAGTAACGATGGTTATCAAAATAATTATCTTGATATCGTATGCGGTATTCCTCAAGGTTCAATCCTCGGACCCTTACTTTTCCTGATATATATAAATGATTTAAATAAAGCTTCTAACCTTATAAGCATCATGTACGCAGATGATACCAACTTATTTCTCTCAAGCAGTAATATATATGAACTCTTTACCACTATGAATAAAGAACTTAAATATATATCAATCTGGTTTAAATGTAATAAGCAAACTTTAAATATTAATAAAACCAAATGGACTCTATTCCATTCGTGTGCAAAAAATTATTACCAACAAACTTGCCACAACTTTATAAAGACGAAATTGAAATAAAAAATGATTTCGTTACAAAATTCTTAGGCGTTTATCTCGATGAAAACATCTCATGGAATCAACATATTAATTATGTTACTACTAAAATTTCAAAAAACATTGGGATTCTATATAAAGCTTGTAACTACCTTAATAAAAATTGCTTTATACAACTTTATTACTCTTTTATCCACAGTTACATAAATTATGCTAACACTGCTAAGGGGAGTTCCGTTAAAAGTAAATTAAAACTTCTTTATCGTCGTCAAAAACATGCGATCCGCATAATTAACTATGCTGATCGTTTTTACTGAAATGAGATTATTAAATCTATTTGAGCTCAATGTATTTAAAGTTTTATGTTTTGTATATTTATGGAGGAATAATTTATCCCCTACCGCTTTTAATAATATTTTCAAACTCAAACCTAACAACAAATACGATATGAGAAACATAAATTTTTTAAATGAGCCGTTTTGTCACACAAAATTTAATCAATTTTGCTTTGCTTATCGTGGACCCCACCTATGGAATAATATTGTTCTGCGAAATCTCGATCAACCAACTTCCTTTTATCTTTTCAAGCTCTATCTTAAAAAATGTATTTTTTCACTTGATAATATACTTAGAAACTTCTGATATTTTGAAAATTGTTATTTGACTTGGGTTTCGTTATTTTTTATTTTGTAATTTTACTTTATTTTTTGTATGTTGTTATACTTGTCTTTATTTTGCTTGCTTGTATTTTATAAGGTTCTGACGACAAGATCTTGTGATCTTCTTTTTTGGACGTCTTTTGAACGTCTTTTAAACGTTCAAAAGACGTCTTTTTTTGGTCCGGTGCCCACTGGGATGGCATTTAGTTTACACATTTTAAGCGGGTATTCTAAATATTATTTAGACAGGTACTGATATTCAGTTCGTTATGAACTGAATATCAGTACCTGTCTAAATAATATTTAGAATAAAATGAATTAAATGAATCTAATGGCATTATATTATATGAATCTAATGATTTTTCAATAAAATTATTCAATTCTTGATGTTATACGTTTTTTAAATGAAACTAATTTTTTTGTCCATTCTGGTGAATATTTTTCAACAACAGTTTGCTATATTTATTTGACATATTAGAAAAATCTAAAATGCATGAATGTTAGAATTATTCTGTTTTAATATTATTTTTATAAAAATACTTTTCTTTAAAAATTTACTTTATTAAATATCAAGTTAATTAAAAAGACATGCAAAAAATTAATTAAAAAGAAATGTAAAAAATACAAATGATGAAGACATAAAACACATAAGTACAAACTATTTTCTGTATTTGTTTAATATTTCAGTTCAGTGCAACAGAAGCACAGAAAATAACTTTACTTATGCTTTTTATCTTACTTAAAATCAAGTACTTCAACGATGGTCATTAAAACAACACAACAATTTTAGTAACATAACGAAATTGTGTGTGGGCGGGGAATTTAACTATATTCAATATTATTATGAAATTTTAATATTAATTATTAATTTCTCATGTTTTTAAACTATGGCCAATTACAGCTGTGACAAAAGTTAAAAAAATCATAACCCTAACCTTCAGCTATTGTTAAATAAAAGCTGTGATAAAAGATAAATAATACCAAGAAAACTACAAAAATAAAACAGAAAAATAATGCATCAAAGTTTAAATTGTAAGTTTTTATCTTTTGCTGTAACATGAAAAAAACTATAAAATGTTTTCAAAATTTGAAATTTCTTCCAAAATTCCATAAAATATTTTTTATAATTTACATTGTAAATTATAAAAAACATACGTTTTGCTACGTATCATTCAAGTACCTGTGTTTAAAGAAGTACCTAACTTTTGAATATTTTTATAAATTTCAAATACTGGACAACAAAAACGTTAATCTTAGGATGTTGTCCAGTTTTCATCATTTTGACATTTCGGGGGCTATAACTCCATTATTTATATTCGGACGTCATTCACTTTAAGTGTATAGTAAAGAGCAACTATCCCTTTATACGATAAAACTTTAAATTCTACTATTTATGAAATAACGAGTGAGAAATTATTATTTATATGACTAAGTAGAAAAAAGGTCAACCACCGGGTGGTTAATCCTATCAGATTTAAATGTTGAAAACAAAATATTAAAATAATAATAAAAAAAGAAAATATGAAAATGGTTTTATAAAGCCAATTCTTTAAAAAAAATAACACTACATAACTAAATTATAAATAAGTTTAAAAAAATACATTTTTTAATAATTATATATATATATATATATATATATATATATATATATATATATATATATATATATATATATATATATATATATATATTAATTACAATAAATATAAAAAGTATCAAAACAAACATAGTTTTTTCGATATCGCATTTGATCGAATGCATTTATTATCTCTTAAATTATCAGACCATCCCAATTTATAGCCTGAAGCACGCGAATAACACAAATATCTTCTTGATTTTGAAAGATCGATCGGAAGTTGAAGACACCGCTTATCTGGATACTTACCTAACAAAAAAAATATTTTGAGAATACAAAAAACATACAAAGCATCATAGCATACTATATGCAAAATGTTGCAATGTATCACAACTTTAACTCAATATGTTGAAATGAACCATAACATTAATACAATAAAATTTCATACTTTAACAAAACGAAAAATACAAATGTATTTTATCATCAAGACACCACCATCATCATAAATGTTAAAATGCAGTTAACATAAATGTTAACAGTGCAGACAAAAATTCTGTAACTTAAATATACCTTACCTTTATCTGAAATAATGAATCCAGGATTTCTAAATGTTCTTTTATGGCATAAAAAAGTTGGTTTATGGTGACCTTCAAGTTGAATTAGCATATTGAGAAAGATACATTGACAATTGCATTTATTAGTAGAACTTTGATTTGTACAGCATGGGTGAATTGCGTGGGAAAGGGAGTAGTCTGTTGGCCAACATGGAAAACCTAAATTTAAGTTTCGTAAAAATAATAAAAACAAATAAAAATAACATTGGTTAGTAATATAAAACTAATTAAAAAAAAATATTTAAATCATACTATTCCCACAGTTTTTACTTCCAGTTGACGAAATTAAAATATCAAAGCTTGGAACGCCACTAAGATGTGTACTATTAGGAGATGGAGTTGAAGTTGCTTTTAAAATTGCAGGAGTCGTTACCGTAACAGAATGATCCGAATCTACCAACAAAGGTTTGATGGTAGGAACATTTAAATCTAAAGTTGTAGTAGGTATGGGAATATCAGGAGTCGTTGTAGAAGATAGACTATCCACAATAGGATTTGTTGTAGGCACTAAAGGGTGGATTGAAGGCTTCAAATCATCTAATCTATCAGAAGAAATAAAGATCGAGTTGCTGTCTGGAGCACTGATGGTTGAAGTCAAAAATGGCAATCTAGATGGATGTATTTGTTTAAGAGGTAAATCTGAAAAAGGTAAAGATATTGGTTCAATGGAGGGGGTTGATTGAACAGTAGGTTTTTCAGTAGTATGTAAAAAGGGATAATCTGGATGGCCATATGGTTTTCCTGTTTCTTTGTCAAGCATTGAAAGATCTGGGTGACCGAAAAGTTCTGGATTTTCAGGATGTCCTAAATGGTCCAAAGGTTTTTCAGTTTCTTTGTCAGGCTGTAGATGATCTGGTTTAACAGGATAATCAGGATGTCCTGGATGCTCAGCAGGTTTATCTGTTTCTTTCTCAGGTTTTAGATGATCTGGCTGATCAGGATGTTCATGATGTCCAAAAAAATCATTTGGTTTTTCTGTTTCTTTGTTAGGTATTAAAAGATCGGGATGAATAGATTGTTCGGGATAACCTGGATGGTCACTTGGTTTTTCTTTTTCTTTATCAGGCTTTGAATAATCTGGCTGATCAGGAAAACCTAAATGATAAGATGGTTTTTCTGTTTCTCTGTCAGGCTTTGTATAAACTGGGTGCTCAGGATGCCCCAAATGGTCAAGAGGTTTAACTGTTTCGTTTTCAGACTTTAAATGGTCTGGATGACCTGGAAAGTCAGGATGTCCCATATGACCATAAGGTTTTTCTGTTTCTTTATCAGGCTTAAGATGATCAGGATGTTCCAAATGATCAAGAGAATTCTCTGTTTCTTTGTTAGGTTTTAAATGGTCTGGATGATCTGCGTGATCTGAGAGATCAGGATGTCCCATATGATCATAAGGTTTTTCTGTTTCTCTGTCAGGGATTGAATGATCTGGCTGATCAGGAAGTTCTAGATGATCGACTGGTTTTTCTGTTTCTTTATTTGGCTTTAGATGATCAGGGTGATCAGGATGTTCCAAATGATCAAAAGGTTTCTCTGTTTCTTTGTTAGGTTTTAAATGGTCTGGATATTCTGGGTGATCAGGATGTACCATATTTTCATAAGGTTTTTCTGTTACTTTTTCAGGCTTTAAATGGTCTGTATGATCTGGATGATCAGGATGCCCCATATGGTCATAAGGTTTTTCTGTTTCTCTGTCAGGTTTTGAATGATCTGGCTGATCAGGAAGTCTTAGGTGATCAATTGGTTTTTCTGTTTCTTTGTCAGGCTTTAGATGATCAGGGTGATCAGCATGTTCCAAATGATCAAGAGGTTTCTCTGTTTCTTTGTTAGGTTTTAAATGGTCTGGATGATCTGGGTGATCAGGATGTACCATATTTTCATAAGGTTTTTCTGATTCTTTTTCAGGCTTTAAATGGTCTGTATGATCTGGATGATCAGGATGCCCCATATGGTCATAAGGTTTTTCTGTTTCTCTGTCAGGTTTTGAATGATCTGGCTGATCAGGAAGTCCAAGGTGATCAATTGGTTTTTCTGTTTCTTTGTCAGGCTTTAGATGATCAGGGTGATCAGGATGTTCCAAATGATCAAGAGGTTTCTCTGTTTCTTTGTTAGGTTTTGAATGGTCTGGATGATCTGGGTGATCTGAGAGATCAGGATGTCCCATATCGTCATAAGGTTTTTCTGTTTCTCTGTCAGGTTTTGAATGATCTGGCTGATCAGGAAGTCCTAGGTGATCAATTGGTTTTTCTGTTTCTTTGTCAGGCTTTAGATGATCAGGGTGATCAGGATGTTCCAAATGATCAAGAGGTTTCTCTGTTTCTTTGTTAGGTTTTAAATGGTCTGGATGATCTGGGTGATCAGGATGTACCATATTTTCATAAGGTTTTTCTGTTTCTTTTTCAGGCTTTAAATGGTCTGAATGATCTGGATGATCAGGATGCCCCATATGGTCATAAGGTTTTTCTGTTTCTCTGTCAGGTTTTGAATGATCTGGCTGATCAGGAAGTCCTAGGTGATCAATTGGTTTTTCTGTTTCTTTGTCAGGCTTTAGATGATCAGGGTGATCAGGATGTTCCAAATGATCAAGAGGTTTCTCTGTTTCTTTGTTAGGTTTTAAATGGTCTGGATGATCTGGGTGATCAGGATGTACCATATTTTCATAGGGTTTTTCTGTTTCTTTTTCAGGCTTTAAATGGTCTGTATGATCTGGATGATCAGGATGCCCCATATGGTCATAAGGTTTTTCTGTTTCTCTGTCAGGTTTTGAATGATCTGGCTGATCAGAAAGTCCTAGGTGATCAATTGGTTTTTCTGTTTCTTTGTCAGGCTTTAGATGATCAGGGTGATCAGGATGTTCCAAATGATCAAGAGGTTTCTCTGTTTCTTTGTTAGGTTTTGAATGGTCTGGATGATCTGGGTGATCTGAGAGATCAGGATGTCTCATATCGTCATAAGGTTTTTCTGTTTCTCTGTCAGGTTTTGAATGATCTGGCTGATCAGAAAGTCCTAGGTGATCAATTGGTTTTTCTGTTTCTTTGTCAGGCTTTAGATGATCAGGGTGATCAGGATGTTCCAAATGATCAAGAGGTTTCTCTGTTTCTTTGTTAGGTTTTGAATGGTCTGGATGATCTGGGTGATCTGAGAGACCAGGATGTCTCATATCGTCATAAGGTTTTTCTGTTTCTCTGTCAGGTTTTGAATGATCTGGCTGATCAGGAAGTCCTAGGTGATCAATTGGTTTTTCTGTTTCTTTGTCAGGCTTTAGATGATCAGGGTGATCAGGATGTTCCAAATGATCAAGAGGTTTCTCTGTTTCTTTGTTAGGTTTTAAATGGTCTGGATGATCTGGGTGATCAGGATGTACCATATTTTCATAAGGTTTTTCTGTTTCTTTTTCAGGCTTTAAATGGTCTGAATGATCTGGATGATCAGGATGCCCCATATGGTCATAAGGTTTTTCTGTTTCTCTGTCAGGTTTTGAATGATCTGGCTGATCAGGAAGTCCTAGGTGATCAATTGGTTTTTCTGTTTCTTTGTCAGGCTTTAGATGATCAGGGTGATCAGGATGTTCCAAATGATCAAGAGGTTTCTCTGTTTCTTTGTTAGGTTTTGAATGGTCTGGATGATCTGGGTGATCTGAGAGATCAGGATGTCTCATATCGTCATAAGGTTTTTCTGTTTCTCTGTCAGGTTTTGAATGATCTGGCTGATCAGGAAGTCCTAGGTGATCAATTGGTTTTTCTGTTTCTTTGTCAGGCTTTAGATGATCAGGGTGATCAGGATGTTCCAAATGATCAAGAGGTTTCTCTGTTTCTTTGTTAGGTTTTAAATGGTCTGGATGATCTGGGTGATCAGGATGTACCATATTTTCATAAGGTTTTTCTGTTTCTTTTTCAGGCTTTAAATGGTCTGAATGATCTGGATGATCAGGATGCCCCATATGGTCATAAGGTTTTTCTGTTTCTCTGTCAGGTTTTGAATGATCTGGCTGATCAGGAAGTCCTAGGTGATCAATTGGTTTTTCTGTTTCTTTGTCAAGCTTTAGATGATCAGGGTGATCAGGATGTTCCAAATGATCAAGAGGTTTCTCTGTTTCTTTGTTAGGTTTTAAATGGTCTGGATGATCTGGGTGATCAGGATGTACCATATTTTCATAAGGTTTTTCTGTTTCTTTTTCAGGCTTTAAATGGTCTGAATGATCTGGATGATCAGGATGCCCCATATGGTCATAAGGTTTTTCTGTTTCTCTGTCAGGTTTTGAATGATCTGGCTGATCAGGAAGTCCTAGGTGATCAATTGGTTTTTCTGTTTCTTTGTCAGGCTTTAGATGATCAGGGTGATCAGGATGTTCCAAATGATCAAGAGGTTTCTCTGTTTCTTTGTTAGGTTTTGAATGGTCTGGATGATCTGGGTGATCTGAGAGATCAGGATGTCCCATATCGTCATAAGGTTTTTCTGTTTCTCTGTCAGGTTTTGAATGATCTGGCTGATCAGGAAGTCCTAGGTGATCAATTGGTTTTTCTGTTTCTTTGTCAGGCTTTAGATGATCAGGGTGATCAGGATGTTCCAAATGATCAAGAGGTTTCTCTGTTTCTTTGTTAGGTTTTAAATGGTCTGGATGATCTGGGTGATCAGGATGTACCATATTTTCATAAGGTTTTTCCGTTTCTTTTTCAGGCTTTAAATGGTCTGTATGATCTGGATGATCAGGATGCCCCATATGGTCATAGGGTTTTTCTGTTTCTCTGTCAGGTTTTGAATGATCTGGCTGATCAGGAAGTCCAAGGTGATCAATTGGTTTTTCTGTTTCTTTGTCAGGCTTTAGATGGTCAGGGTGATCAGGATGTTCCAAATGATCAAGAGGTTTCTCTGTTTCTTTGTTAGGTTTTAAATGGTCTGGACGATCTGGGTGATCTGAGAGATCAGGATGTCCCATATCGTCATAAGGTTTTTCTGTTTCTCTGTCAGGCTTTGAATGATCTGGCTGATCAGGAAGTCCTAGATGATCGACTGGTTTTTCTGTTTCTTTATCAGGCTTTAGATGATCAGGGTGATCAGGATGTTCCAAATGGTCAAGAGGTTTTTCTGTTTCTTTGTTAGGTTTTAAATGGTCTGGATGATCTGGGTGATCAGGATGTACCATATTTTCATAAGGTTTTTCTGTTTCTTTTTCAGGCTTTAAATGGTCTGTATGATCTGGATGATCAGGATGCCTCATATGGTCATAAGGTTTTTCTGTTTCTCTGTCAGGTTTTGAATGATCTGGCTGATCAGGAAGTCCAAGGTGATCAATTGGTTTTTCTGTTTCTTTGTCAGGCTTCAGATGGTCAGGGTGATCAGGACGTTCCAAATGATCAAGAGGTTTTTCTGTTTCTTTGTTAGGTTTTAAATGGTCTGGACGATCTGGGTGATCTGAGATATCAGGATGTCCCATATCGTCATAAGGTTTTTCTGTTTCTCTCTCAGGCTTTGAATGATCTGGCTGATCAGGAAGTCCTAGATGATCGACTGGTTTTTCTGTTTCTTTATCAGGCTTTAGATGATCAGGGTGATCAGGATGTTCCAAATGGTCAAGAGGTTTTTCTGTTTCTTTTTCAGGTTTTGAATGGTCTGGATGATCTGGGTGATCAGGATGTACCATATTTTCATAAGGTTTTTCTGTTTCTTTTTCAGGCTTTAAATGGTCTGTATGATCTAGATGATCAGGATGCCCCATATGGTCATAAGGTTTTTCTTTTTCACTGTCAGGCTTTGAATGATCTGGCTGATCAGGAAGTCCTAGATGATCAATTCCTTTTTCTGTTTCTTTGTCAGGCTTTAGATGATCAGGATGTTCTAAATGATCAAGAGGTTTCTCTGTTTCTTTGTAAGGTTTTGAATGGTCTGAATGATCTGGGTGATCAGGATGTACCATATTGTCATAAGGTTTTTCTATTTCTTTTTCAGGCTTTAAATGGCCTGGGTGATCTGGATGATCAGGATGCCCCATATGGTCATAAGGTTTTTCTGTTTCTCTGTCAGGCTTTGAATGATCTGGCTGATCAGGAAGTCCTAGATGATCGATTGGTTTTTCTGCTTCTTTGTCAGGCTTTAGATGATCAGGATGTTCCAAATGATCGAGAGGATTTTCTGTTTCTTTGTTAGGTTTTGAATGGTCTGGATGATCTGGGTGATCTGAGAGATCAGGATGTCCCATATGGTCATAAGGTTTTTCTGTTTCTCTGTCAGGCTTTGAATGATCTGGCTGATCAGGAAACCCTAGATGATTGATTGGTTTTTCTGTTTCTTTTTCAGGCTTTAAATGGTCTGGTAGATCAGGATGCACCATATGGTCAAGAGGTTTTTCTGTTTCTTTTTCAGGTTTTGAATGGTCAAGGTGATCAGGATATTCATGATGTCCTGGATATTCATTTGGTTTCTCTGTTTCTTTGTCAGGCTTTGGATGATCAGGATGTTCATGAGGTTCTGGATATTTATCTGGTTTTTCTGTTTCTTTGTCAGGCTTTAAATGATCTGGATGATCAGGATGTCCATTAAGATCAAGAGGTTTTTCTGCTTCCTTTTCAGGCTTTAAATGTTCTGGGTGATCTGTAAGATCAGGATGTCCCATATGGTCATAAGGTTTTTCTGTTTCTTTATCAGGCTTTGAATGATCTGGATGATTAGGAAGTCCCAGATAATCAAATGGTTTTTCTGTTTCTTTGTCAGGCTTTAGATGATCAGGGTGATCAGGATGTTCCAAATGGTCAAGAGGTTTTTCTGTTTCTTTGTTAGGTTTTAAATGGTCTGGATGATCTGGGTGATCAGGATGTACCATATGCTCATAAGGTTTTTCTGTTTCTTTTTCAGGCTTTAAATGGTCTGAATGATCTGGAAGATCAGGATGTCCCATATGGTCGTAAGGTTTTTCTGTTTCTCTGTCAGGCTTTGAATGATCTGGATGATTAGGAAGTCCCAGATAATCAAATGGTTTTTCTGTTTCTTTTTCAGGCTTTAGATGATCAAGGTGGTCAGGATGTTCCAAATGGTCAAGAGGTTTTTCTGTTTCTTTGTTAGGTTTTAAATGGTCTGGATGATCTGGGTGATCAGGATGTACCATATGCTCATAAGGTTTTTCTGTTTCTTTTTCAGGCTTTAAATGGTCTGAATGATCTGGAAGATCAGGATGTCCCATATGGTCGTAAGGTTTTTCTGTTTCTCTGTCAGGCTTTGAATGATCTGGATGATTAGGAAGTCCCAGATAATCAAATGGTTTTTCTGTTTCTTTGTCAGGCTTTAGATGATCAAGGTGGTCAGGATATTCCAAATGGTCAAGAGGTTTCTCTGTTTCTTTGTTAGGTTTTAAATGGTCTGGATGATCTGGGTGATCAGGATGTACCATATGCTCATGAGGTTTTTCTATTTCTTTTTCAGGCTTTAAATGGTCTGAATGATCTGGAAGATCAGGATGTCCCATATGGTCGTAAGGTTTTTCTGTTTCTCTGTCAGGCTTTGAATGATCTGGCTGATTAGGAAGCCCTAGATGATCGACTGGTTTTTCTGTTTCTTTATCAGGCTTTAGATGATCAGGGTGATTAGGATGTTCCAAATGATCAAGAGGTTTTTCTGTTTCTTTGTTAGGTTTTGAATGGTCTGGATGATCTGGGTGATCTGAGAGATCAGGATGTCCCATATGGTCATAAGGTTTTTCTGTTTCTCTGTCAGGCTTTGAATGATCTGGCTGATTAGGAAGCCCTAGATGATCAAATGGTTTTTCTGTTTCTTTGTCAGGCTTTAAATGGTCTGGAAGATCAGGATGCACCATATGGTCAAGAGGTTTTTCTGTTTCTTTTTCAGGTTTTGAATGGTCCAGGTGATCAGGATATTCATGATGTCCTGGATATTCATTAGGTTTCTCTGTTTCTTTATCAGGCTTTGAATGATCAGGATGTTCATGATGTTCCGGATATTTATCTGGTTTTTCTGTTTCTTTGTCAGGCTTTAAATGATCTGGATGATTAGGATGTCCATCAAAGTCAAGAGGTTTTTCTGCTTCCTTTCCAGGCTTTAAATGTTCTGGGTGATCTGTAAGATCAGGATGTCCCATATGGTCATGAGGTTTTTCTGTTTCTCTGTCAGGCTTTGAATGATCTGGCTGATCAGGAAGCCCTAGATGATCAAATGGTTTTTCTGTTTCTTTGTCAGGCTTTAAATGGTCTGGAAGATCAGGATGCACCATATGGTCAAGAGGTTTTTCTGTTTCTTTTTCAGGTTTTGAATGGTCAAGGTGATCAGGATATTCATGATGTCCTGGATATTTATTTGGTTTTTCTGTTTCTTTGTCAGGCTTTGAATGATCAGGATGTTCATGATGTTGTGGATATTTATCTGGTTTTTCTGTTTCTTGGTCAGGCTTTAAATGATCAGGATGATTAGGAAGTCCCAGATGATCAAGTGGTTTGTCTGTTTCTTTATTGGGCTTTAAATTGTCTAGATGATCTGGACGATCAGGATGTCCTATATGGTCAACAGGTCTTTCTGTTTCTTCGTTAGGTTTTGAATGGTCTTGATAATCAGGATGTTGATGATGTCCTGGATATTCATCTGGTTTTTCTGTTTCTTTGTCAGGTTTTGACTGATCTGAATTATTAGGATGTTCTATATGATCAACCGGATGATCTGGATGTCTTATATGGTCAAGAGGTTTTTCAGTGACTTTGTCAGGCTTCAAATGTTCTGGGTGATATGGATGTTCAGGATGTCCTATATGGTCAACAGGTCTTTCCGTTACTTTTTCAGGTTTTGACTGATCTGGGTTATCAGGATGTCCTAGATGATCAACTGGATTTTCTTTTCCTCTGTCAGGCTTTGAATGATCTGGGTGATCCATATGTTCAGGATGTCCAATATAGTCATCAGGTTTATCTGTTTCCTTGTCAGGTTTTGAATTGAGTGGGTGATCAGGATGTTGTTGGTGGTCGCCTGATTTTTCAGTTTCTTTTTCAGGCTTTGAATGATCTTGGTGTTTAGGATGTTCTGGATGTCCTGGGTGGTCATTTTGTTTTTCTGTTTCTTTGTAAGGATTTAAATGATCTTGGTGATCAGGATGTTCTGGATGGTCACCTGGTTTTTCTGTTTCTTTATCAGGCATTGAATGATCTTGGTGCTTTGGATGTTCTGGATGTCCTGGGTGGTCATCTGATTTTTCTCTTTCTTTGTCAGGATATAAATGATCAGGGTGATTAGGATGTTCGGGATGAGTACCTGGTTTTTTTGTATCTTTATCAGGCTTTGAATGATCGAGATGATTAGGATGGTCAGGATGTTTCTCATGGTCAACTGGTATATTGTTGTCTAAATCAGGTTTAAAATTTTCAGGAAAACTAAGTTGTCCTGGATGGATATATGGTTTTTCTGCTTCTTTTTCAGGCTTTAAATGATCTGGGTGATCAGGATGTTCGAGATGTCCTGGGTGATCACCTGATTTTTCTGTTTCTTTGTCAGAATTCAAATGATTGGGTTGATTAGGATGTTCCGGATGTACTTGATAGTCATTTGGTTTTTCTGTTTCTTTGTCAGACTTTGAATGATCGAGATGATTAGGATGTTCAGGATGTTCTGGATGGTCAACTGGTTTATTGTTGTCTAAATCAGGTTTTAAATTTTCAGGTAAATTAAGTTGTCCTGGATGGATATATGGTTTTTCTGTTTCTTTTTCAGGATTTAAATGATCTGGGTGATTAAGATGTTCGAGATGTCCTGGGTGATCACCTGATTTTTCTGTTTCTTTGTCAGGATTTAAATGATTGGGATGATTAGGATGTTCAGGATGCCCTTGATGGTCATCTGGTTTTTCTGTGTCTTTGTCAGGCTTTAAATGATCTTGGTGATTAGAATGGTCCAGACGATCACCAGGTTTTACTGTTTCTTTGTTTGGTTTTGAATGATCCAGATGATTGGGATTTTCATGATCTCCTAAGAGATGTTCAGTATGTCCTGGATGATCACCTGGCTTCTCTGTTTGTTTGTTAGGCTTTAAATGATCTGGTTGATCAGGATATTCATGATGTTCTTGGTGGTCACCTGGTTTATTTTTTACTTCTTCAGGCTTTAAATGATCTTGGTGTTTAGGATGGTTGGGATGTTCTGAATTGTTTTCTGGGTTGTTTGTTTGTTCCAAAGGTTTTTCCACATTGTAATCTATCATAGGCTAAAAATAAATATAAACATATTTTGTTTATAACAAAATATAATATTTAATTTTTAATTTTTATTATTTTTATAAAGATTGATTTGAAAAACTCTGAACTCTTCTTATTTTTTAATTTTCATACTTATTTTGAAATAAATTGAAGATAATTTTATCAATTTAAAATTTAATTAAATACTATAATGGAATACTATAATGATATTATATCTTAAAAGGAAAATAAAATTTAACAAATAAAGAATTAAAAAATTTTTTTTTTAAGTGAAAACATGAATTTGTAGAAAAAAGTTTAAGAATATTTAGCATAATTACCGGATACACTTTGTGAATACGTTTAATATCACTTTCACTGAACCCGTTACGTTGTCCTAAAATAGTTCCTTTGATATTGGGATGTAAACTTGTAAGAGTGGGCAATCCATTTTTAGAGAAAGCTAAAGCTCTATAATGCATGATGCTGAAGTAATCATACCTAAAAAAAATTGAAAATTACAAATACATGCTTTTATGCAAAAAAAAATTTACCCAGAACACAGATGTTGATAACTTAGTATACATTTATAAAAATGAGCTTTCTTTACTCACATGATTTTTTAACTAAAATATTTTAAAAAATTTTTATTGGATGAAAATTTAATTAAATTTTATAATTACCATCCAATGCAACTTTTTTAATTATTAAAAATTTAAACAGTCATAATTACATATCATACACTAGATACCAGGCCTTGTTATGAGATTTTGTTGTGCAACTAAAAAGCGTAACGCAAATAAATGTGACTTTACTCAATAAATATATTTACATCATTAAAATTTAAAATTCATCACTTGTGTACTTTTAAATACCGCATTGCAGTTAAATTTAACTTGAAATGTTAAAAAGTCTTAATCTTTATAAAATATTTATGAAATATCTTAAATTAAACAATTTTGTTATAAAAAAAATATATAAAAACTTAAATGTTGTTTAAAATAAAAAATTTCCTTATTTAAAAAAACTTTCTAAAACATTCATTATAAAACACACCCAACATTATCTTTTTTTTTTTTTTTTAATGTGGGGGCAATTGTTTATGGGTGAATTTCCAAACAGTTAGAAAAAAAAAAAAAAAAACGATAAACAATTTTTTTTTTAAACATTTGACTTTAAAAAAATCTTTGCATAAACTAGTTAATCATTTCTAATCAACGTTCATAATATGATCAATCTAAAAAATTAATAATGGAAAAACTTTAGTTAAAAAACAATTTCAAAACTAAAAAAACTGTCTTTTCATAAAGAACATGATGCAATATGTCATCCTCTCCAGCCTCCTTATCCAAGCCAAGCGAGATCCTAAAACTTCTAAATAGTTCCTTAAGATTTAAGAGACACTGACCATTAATAAACAAAGACATATTAAGATCTCTGTTGGCAACAACAAAACAATTGGAAAGTGCATAAATTATGACAATAAAGGGAGGTGCCTTTATAATCATAATTTATGCATTTTCATCAATATGCTTTACATTAAAGAGTAAAAACAATGAGTTGAGAACTATGCTGAAAGAAAAAAAAAATTTTTTTTTTTTTTTACAATTCAAAAAACATCTAAAAAATCAGTTCAATTCAAGGTAGCTTTAACATTTTAAATTACTCAAATAGTAGAAGCTTGTGTTAACCAAGTGGGGAGGTAGTAACCAAGTGGGGAGGTAGTAACCAAGTGGGGAGGTATAATCAAATCACATTGAGTTAGATTAAGATCGTTGTTAAAGTAAAAAATTGAATTTAGCTGGAAAATTGATCAAAAGTGATTATTTAAAAAAAAATGTACAGCATAAAAAATGATAGGTTGATCTGTTCCTAGAAAAAGCTTGTCAGGGAGGCCATCAACTGTAAAAGTTGATTGCTGGGCTGTTTCTAAGAATAAAAAAAAAGGTTTCTCAAAAAAGTGATTTTTAATAGTTATAATACTGCCACAATTTGAGTCTTAGACTTCAATTCATAATCTTTCCTTTTGCATGTTTAGAACAACACCCCTAATATCCTATTGAAAAAAATGTACTTTATTGCATGAAAAAAATGTACTTTAATAGTCTATTCTTAGTAGTTTTACAGTTTTTGCATTCAGTCGTGGTTTTATAAGATTGTAAACTACCTAATAACTTTATGAAAAACTCATATTCATATCCAAAATAATCTATTAGAAAGCTTCCATCCATACATATAGTTGGTAAAACCTATATATATGGATAAAACAGATTTCGACTACAAAATTAGTTTTTACTTCATCACATTCATCTTTATCTGAATTATATCATAGAGATTTTTTTAGAGAACTTCTTTGCAAACTTTACAAGTTTGGTTCAAGTTAAACTAATGTCCAAAGAGAAAAAGAAAAAAATCTATTGTGCAAGATATTATTAATCGAAAACTGTTGAAATAGACTTTATTGTACATTTAGATCTCCATTTAGACGCTTTTGAGAAGAAACATTCTAGGTTTTTGCTTTTATTAGGTAGTTAAAAAAGTTTTGAATTTCTTTGGTGGTGACATTATCTATAAGGAAACATCTGGAAAATGTTCTCCTTGTTAGATTTTTAAACTTTGTCTATTTCTGACTAAACTAAGTTTTAGTTTGTGACCTCTTACCATTTATTTTCATTTTCATTTTTTTTTCATAGACTTGTTTATCATCTTCAATTGTTCCATTAAATCTTAAATTGTATTTTCCTTTATTAGGATGCTCCAATATAACTCAAGCTTTACCTAAGCTGATAGGAATATATACTTATATGTTAATAATATGGAATATTTATAGTTATATAGGTTTGTATTGTTCTTTTGATCAAGTACCAGAAAATCTTTATCTTAGGATTTCAATTTAGTATAGGCACTTTTACGGGCTCTTTCATAATTCTAATGATTTCTATTTTGTTGTCATTATCAGAGAGTAATCTTCTAAAAAATTTATTAATCAACACGACAGAAATCCAGTAATCATCTAGCAAACAATGTTGCGATCCAAAGCTCAAAAATCCTGTATATTGTATTTAAAAGCTTAAGAAAGCTATTATAACTTTGATCATCAAATATTTGGAACAAAGCAAAATTGATTTGCTTTCAGAGTTGTTAACAGTTTCTGGCCTTTTCTTAGACAAGCTGACATTTTTTAATTTATAATCTTTCTTAAGCTTTTAAATAAAATATACAGGATTCGCAATCCAATATAATCATGCCATTTGGTTGAGCTTTTTAAAACTTTTTACAGATTTTATAGTTCTCTTTAATCAAATCCAATTCTTTCTTTTGGATTTCATTTCAATTATCAATATTTTCTTTAGAACTAATTCACTAAACTCTTTTACTAAACAAACTAAACAAACATTACAGCAAGCACAATACAAATATCAAGCATACTTTTTAGCCATTTAACATTTAGCAATTAAAAAACTATTTACACAATAAATATTTTCAACTATTAAAGGTTCCAAGATACGCAGAAGCGGATAATCATAGAAAGTGAAATTTTGATATTAGGAAGCAATTTTCTGGAGGCAAAACCTACATGCTTATTGCATTATGCTCTTTGCTATATTTTACTAAAAAAATTAATTGAAAATCTTAAATAATTTTTCCTACAGGCTTCATTATGATTCATTCAACAATGCATTTTTATACAGTTTTAAGGGTACATTAAGCACTTTCATAATGGGATTAAATTTAATTTAAAATATCAGCACTTTCATAATGGGATTAAATTTAATTTAAAATTACATTTAAAAATTATTGATTGAAACAGTAAATAAATAAACAAAATAGTTGAATGAAAAACGAAGATTTTGAAGAAACTTGAATTAAATTAATTTAAAATATTTTCTTTTCTTTATCATAGCTTGGAAATTTTAGAAGAGTTTTAAATTTTTAAAAATTTATTAATAATTATTTTTAAATAATAATAAATTTAAATTTATTAATAATTAAAAATAAATTTAATTCAAATATAATAAATTAAATTTATATGAAAATTTTTTTAAAAATGAAAAGTAGAAAAAAATTTATTTCACAATTGCGGTGATAATGTTTTTTAACTTAATTAATTACAGCCTAATGTTTTCCGCTTAAACTATTTTAAAAGACTGTTTAAATAATTGAAAATGTTTTGGCTTAACATATAGGTGAAATCGCTATTTCGTACATAAAACTCGAATAGAATAACACTTCTTAACAAGGCCTGCAACTATGTACAGTATGGTGTTAAAGTTTAAAAATGCCAACTTTTTTTTAGTTTTTAGAGCATAACTTTTCACAGAAATTCTTAAATAAATTGAAATGTGTTATATATTATTTCAATTCAAAATACAACCACAAAAATTTGTTATATATATGTAAATATATATATATATATATATATATATATATATATATATATATATATATATATATATATATATATATATAGATATATATATATATATATATATATATAGATATATATATAGATATATACATGTATATATATCTATATATATATATATGCAACTCTCACTATCATAATAACAACAACAACTACTACTACTACTACTTTAAAAACACTTTTTACAATACAAATAATTTCAATACTTACAACAATCCCATTTCTTGACCAGCATTATATTTTTTGAAATTTATGATTGACTCTAAAAAAAACGCAAGTATATAAACAATTATTTGATTAATAATAAATACTCACAGAGATATACTTGAATGTATATATATAAATATATATATATATATATATATATATATATATATATATATATATATATATATATATATATATATATATATATATATATATATATATATATATATATATATATATATATATATATATACACACATAAATACACACCTATAAATGTACACTTAGATAATGTGACATCATACTAAAATATAGAGCTACAGGAGCTTCAGTACATACATCAACTAATATAGGGAGAACATGCTGGGAAGTGCTGCTACATCGATATATATATATATATATATATATATATATATATCGATCACTTAGAACAGGGAGCCAATCTTGAATCTTATCTCACTTCTGTAATAGATTGGGACTCATAGTGGCTTGTAAAGTGTAACTCCAATAAAAATCACAGTACTCTCGACATTCCTATATTAATGAATGGCCTTCTCACTGAGTCCTCTTCTTTATATCTTCATGGATTATTATTTACTACTGACCTTTCATAGAAACCATATATACAATTGCTAAATTAGCATCTGCTAAGGTTGTTTCTCTTTATCGTGCTTGCCATTTTCTCTCTCCGGATTCCATACTTTACCTCTACAAATCTCTTATTTCTCCCTGTATGGAATACTGTTGTCATATTTGGGCTGGTTTTTCTAATGATGCTCTTTTCTTCTAGACAAGGTCCAAAAATGCATTATAAACATAATTGGACCTGCTCTATCTTCTAAGTTTAAGCCTCTTTTCCATCATCATAAAATTGCATCTCTCTTTTCTACAAATACTATCATGGTCGCTGCTGAAAGAAGCTCTCATCTCTAGTTCCATCTACTTAAACTCATTTTCGCTTGACTTGTCATTCAGCAAAGTCTCATTCCTTTATTGTATTTGTCCCTGCATGCTCTAAAAACTTATATGTATATATATATATATATATATATATATATAAATATATATATATATATATATATATATATATATATATATATATATATATATATATATATATATATATATATATATATATATATATATATATATATATATATATATATACAGTAGCGTCCAAAAGTAATTAAACAAACATCTTTTTTCTCTCATTAAATTAACATTTTTAAATGAAATTTTGCATAAACATGTCAAATTATACAACAATTATGAAAAACAAAACAAAAATCCACTTTTGGGAGCTATTACTCAAAATTTTATAAAAAAATGAAACTGATTGGCTCAAAAGTAATTGGACAAACTAAATATGTAATTGGACAAACTAAATTTTTCTCTCAATATGCTCCCAAAGATGTTTGATTGGGTTCAGGTCCGGAGATTGTGATGGCCATTCCAAGATACAAACTTTTTTTTGAGCAGAAAATTCTGTTACTAGCTTCGATGTATGCTTTGGATCATTGTCATGTTGGAAAGTTTAACCATACAACATTTTTTCCTTTGCATGTGGCAGCATTATATCTTTGATTATTCCTTTATACATGTTTTTGTCCATAATGCCTTGAACTCGATAGATTAGACCTACTCCATCTCCACGTCGAACATATTTAATACCATCAGAACCAAACATGTTAAATTTTGACTTGTCATTCCATAAAACTTTTGACCACTCCTTTGCTGTTTAATTTAAATGTTCTTTAGCAAATTTTAACAGATTTGCTCTACGATTTTTTGCAGAAACAAAAGGTTTTTTAACAGGACGACAGCTAAACAGGTTGCTTTGTCTTAAGCGACATTTTACTGTTGCATAAGAACAAGAAATATGACATGACTGTGTAAACTCTTTATGAATTTTCTTAGAACTTTTGCGCAGATCTGCTTTTGACAACCTTACTATAACATTGTCTTGACGAAAAGTTGTTGATTTTGGGCATCCTGACTTTGTTAAAGCCTGGAAATAATTCAGCTGTTGAAAAACTTTTAATGTATAACTAACTGTTGATCATAGAATGTTCATATATATAGAAATTTGTCACACACTATTACCATTATTAGATCCTTTTATAATTAACTTTTTCACTGTCTCGCTTAAATATTTATCATGTCGCATTATAAATTATTGATTCTTGAATATTTAGAATTTAGTTTGTCAAATTACTTTTTAGCCAATCAGTTTCATTCTTTTAATAAAGTTTTAAATAATTACTCCCAAAAGTAAATTTTTGTTTTGTTTCTCATAATTGTCATATAACTTGACATGCTTATGTAAAATCTCTTTTAAAAATGTTAACTCATTGAGAAAATATTACAAAAAAGGTGTTTGTCCAATTACTTTTGGACGTTACTGTGTATATATATATATATATATATATATATATATATATATATATATATATATATATATATATATATATATATAAAAAGTTACAAGAGAAAAAACAACTTTTTTACGGTACTTAAAGTTTCATGCTGTTTTCGGCACTCAACAGCCATATATACATATATATATATATATATATATATATATATATATATATATATATATATATATATATATATATATATATATAATATATATATATATATACACCCACATACAAAAAAGTATTTTCTAAAGTATTAATATTTTTCACTATTTTTCTAAAAATATATTTTTTACTGATTTAGATTCACAGAATACATCTATAATGACAAAATTCTAAATAAGGATTAGGCAGGAAATTCATTAAACACATCAATTGATGAGTTAGGGTGTGGAAGTCTACATTCATATATTTATGTATCGAAAAGACTTCAAATTTCATATAGAAACTTTTTTTTCAAAGAGAAAAAGAATTTTTATTTTCATTTTTTTTATCTTTTTCCTTATTTTCATTATCATCTTTTCCTAAGTTTTAGATCTCATTCAAACGAACTAAAACATAAATACAAAAGTACATATGTAATAAACATAGATATAAATACAGAAGTACACATAAATACAGAAGTAAACATAAATACAGAAGAACACATAAATACAGAGCCATATTTGAAGTAATGAGTATCTATAAATGGATTAAAAACTTTTTAATACCATAAAATGCTTACTGAAAAGCTTATAAAATGAATTTTATAAATAAATAAATTTAAAAAAGTAGCTCAACCTGAAAAAAAAATTATTTAAAACATTTTTTCAAAACTATTTTGCATCTTTTCCTAGTTGTGCTTTAAAATGCATGAAAAATTATAAATAAAAATTATAAAGTTATTAATTTAAAAGTTAGCAATTAAAATTATAAAGGATTAAAGCAAAGTCTTATTTAATTTTATTGTTTTGATCATATCTTAGTGGAAAAATTTTATACAATAATTCTAATTTTACTATATAGAGAAAACTCTCACTCTGATACATATTTTCATAGTTGACTTTAAGATGTACATCACGATCGACTCTTGATGTTTCATGCAAAAATCCTAGAGCATGCATGATCAAATGAATAACAGTGCCTGTATAAAAAAAAAAATTCTTTAATAGAATAAATAATTTTTAAAAACAAAAATTAAATTTTAAACAAAGAAATGATAAAATTATTATTACACTGACATATTTATAAATAAGATTACTATACTATACTTATCTTATACTTTCATTTTTTGTAATAACATAAATTTTCATAATTATATAAATATAACATGATAACAAAAAATATATATTCAGTAACATCTTTACTTAAGGTATATCACATTATTTATGAAAAAAAAAAATGTTTCAAAGGTTGACTATTCTTTTTAATATATTTTTCTAAAAATTTATATATATTTTTTTTTAATATACTAAAAATACTAAAAAATACAGTTTTTTACTAGTTTGTTACAAAATTAATGAATAATAATACAGACAGAAAATCAAATATTATTCAAAGACCTTAAATAATTTTTATCCTGTCAGTCTTATAATTTTAATCCTGTCAGTTTTCAAATTTAATGACTATTAAAACCATTCTTTATATCTTTCTAGTATAAATTTTTTTTATTTCTAGAAAGTTTTGGAAATATATATAGTATACAGTAAATGTAGAACCAATCTAAAAAGAAGGGAAAAAAAAAGAAAACATATTTAGCAATTTTATTTTTTGTTAGGAAGCACCTGTTTAAACAACACTACCATAAACTCAAACATTTAAGCACGGAACTTCTGTAAAATGTTTTTACAATTAAAAATAACAGGTTGCTTTTGTCAACAATGTTGAAAATGCCAAAATGTAATTTAATAACAAGTTATAATTGCAGGTTGTAATATAATTACAGGTTAAAATTACAGGTTGGCATTGTCAATGTAACTCAGCAACTAACAAACTTAATATAATAAATTCACCAAACTTTAATAAAAAAGAGTTTTCATTAAAAAAAACTGTGCAAAATGAAACAGTATTTAAAAACAGAACCATGTTTGACAAGTGTTTTTTGTATACAAGCAATAGTCCTGTTGAAGATCCTTTCTCAGAGTAAAACAAAAAATTCTCTTAAATTTAACATAAACATGTCAGGTATTTAACTTAATTGCTTCATTGTTACAACATTGAGCACTGCAAAAGAGTATACTCATAAGAGTTTTGTATTACTTAAATTTAATCCATGATCAATCAAATTATTTACTCCAGTTAGTTGAGTACTTTATTCAAGTTTGCCTAGAAAATGGAACATACTCGCAACACTCAGAGGCTTATAGACAAAACTCATTATTTTGACAATTTTTCTGCAACCCTGTAATAAACTAAACTGAGAAAACAATTGTTTTTGAAACATGTTTTTGAAAAGAGATGAGCAATGGAAAGCTTTTACTTTTTATAAATAACTTTTTTTTTTTTTGCAAACATTGTAATCTAAATAAAAAAGTTTAGGAAAGTCCAAAACATCTCTAATAAACTCTTTTGTTAGGATGGGTAATTAAAAGAATATTCGATGTTAGGAATTGGTAATTAAAAGGATGTTGAAGTGAGTTGTTATAAACTATTTTATTAATTCAACATATACAACATTATAAAAGGAAAGATCTACGCACCTAATAAGGAAAGATTTTTATCAAAATCAAGATAAAATGTCTTGATTTTGATAAAAACCTATGCACCTAATCAGAAACAATAATCTAAAATAAAAATCTACGCACCTAATATTATAAAAAACGTAAAAAAATTAAGATTGTCAGTCACATCATTAATAAAATTTGTTTTTAATAAAGACCGCCAACAAAGACATATATATAATTCACCTTAAATAAGACATTTAAAAAATTAAGCCTTAAAACCTTAAAACCCGAAGTTAAAAAAACTAAAAATGATTAAACAACAAAAATTGAAAACAAAAATTCAAATAGTATCCCTGGTAACCCCTGATACCATTGTATCCATAGTAAATTCAAATAGAATGTGGAAACAAAAAAAGAAAGTTGTTTACTTTAATTTTCCAGTGAACCATAAATTTTATAAAATATTCAAAAAAATTAAGATAAATTATAGTTGCATCCATAATTAGTTTGAATAACCACAAGATTTTTGATTAGTGATAAAAATTTATGAAAAAAAACTGCAATCACATTACAAAAATCACTTATCCATTTTATTAAGTAAGATTGATAATATGGAATATAAAAAAGCATCTTTTTAAATATTCTAATCTCTATTATAAAAAAACAATCATTTCATAAAAAAAAAAAAATTATAAAAATTATACAAAATTCAAAATAATAATTCAAAAAATGATTGTTTTTGAAATTTTTATATAATTTCACTTTATCTGAGCACCAGGTTAATCTACTATTAATAATCTTTTTTTTTAATTTGACGGGTCTTGAGGGGCCCCTCAAAATATTTTTTATTCAAAAAAATTTAAACTAAGTGTTATTTTTTCTGTATAAGACACTTTTAGTGGGTAGTAGTATACTTTGAAATAAAAATATTTTTAAGGGTTTATATATATATGTATAAAATATGTGTATATATATATATATATATATATATATATATATATATACATATATAAGTTTATATATATATACATATATATATATATATATATATATATATATATATATATACATATATAAGTTTATATATATATATATATATATATATATATATATATATATATATATATATATATATATATATATATATAATATATAAAGTTATGTATATATTTATACATAATAATATTATATATGTATATATATATATATATATATATATATATATATATATATAAAAATAAAATTATTATCAAAATGTTTTGACCTTTCCATCTGCATTCAAGGCCAACACTAATGATTTGTTCGCCCCCAGCTTTTCCTATCTTTGAGTAGCATCTATAAAATAAATTTTGTTATATAAAACTCTATATATTGAATAAATAAATTAATTTAAAACCTCTAATTTGGAAGAAAAATAAATATCTATGTCAGAAAAAGTAGTCAGAAAATATATATCTATATGACCATGCTTTATTTACAAGTGCATATTGTAAAAAAAAACTTTAGACTCTACTGGAATAATAAAGTAAATAAACTTATAAGTAAATGATTATTATAAATCAATAAAAACTTATTATAAATAAAAGAAAAAATACTTCATTGACTGTCATTTAAGCTTCAGTTTTCAAAATGTTCTTAGTTTGTATA